TGGGGACAAGGGACAGGAGCCAGGGAATGGCTGCCAGTGCCAGAGGGCAGCCATGGATGGGATCTTGGCCATGAGGAATTGCTGGCTGGGCTGGAATTGCCAGAGCAGCTGGGGCTGCCCCTGATCCCTGCAGTGCCCAGGGCCAGGCTGGACACTGGGACAGGGGAGGTGTCCCTGCCCATCAGGTTGGAACTGGGGGGACTCTGAGGTCCCAGAGCCCACCCAAGCCAGTCTGGGAATCTTTAAGTGGCCTCTGCTCTGTGGTGGGCCTGGTTTGGGAGATCCTGTTGAGGTAAAGCAGTTCCTGATCCCCAAGCTGTGTGGGGAGGGGGATCCCTGCCCTCTCCCCCAGCCTGTCCCTGGCTCCTGGCAGAGCTCCCGGCAGAGCTCCCCAGCTCTCCTCTCTTGCAGATGTGTTCGTGTGCGGGGGCTACAACGGAGAGGTCATTCTGGGAGATGTTTGGAAGCTGAACCTGCAAACTTTCCAGTGGGTCAAGCTGCCAGCTGCCATGCCAGAGCCTGTGTACTTCCACTGTGCTGCTGTCACCCCAGTAAGTGACTCCTTTTGTCCCTCGGGAGCTGGGATCCTTCCTCCAAGCACTCTCACCTTGCTGTGGGCTGCAGGTAGAGCTGATGTTCCCAAGGAAGTGACCTCCACTGCATGCAGCAGCTTTTGGGAGGCTCTTCTTCCTGCTGCTGTTTGAAGAGTGGAGCCACACTATGGATTTCGCTTTCTGAAAGAAATAATGCAGAATTTGAGCTTTTAAAGTCTGTGTGGGAACAGCAGTTCCTGCTTGTAAAAGGAAAAAAAAAAACCAAAACCAAAAAGCAGAAATACTCCCTGAGTAGTGATTTTATCCTACTGAGAACAGCCTGAGGTGCAGGATTGGATGAGGCTGTTTCCAGCCTTTTGGAAGCCACTAAGGAATGTTGGTATTGGCAGAGCTTTTGGCTTTAAGAAGTCTGGAGACCTGGGATTGGTAATTAACAGGCAGCAATGCCTTTGGCTGTGCCTTCACCTCCTCCAGCCCCTCATCTCCTGAGGGCAGAGATCACATTCCTTGGTGTCACTTCATTTGGGGAGTGTTATAAATGCAGTTTTTCCTGGGAAGCCTGATAAAGGTGTTTCCCAGGCAGCTCAGTGACTGCTGGACAGCTGGAATGCCCTTTCTCTGCCAGCCTGTGGAAAAAAAAAAGCCACTCAGCAGCTGAGATTTCCCATCTCTCTGTGTTCCTGTCATCCCTGGAGCAGGCTTGTGCTGAGCCAAGGGAATGCAGGATGTCTGGGTGAGGTGGGTGTAGTTTAAAAATACATTATTTTTAGCTGGAACATGAGTATGGCTCTGTACTACTTTATTAACAGTTTGCCACACTCCTAAAATGGATTTCTTGGCATAGAAATCACCTAAAACTCAGAGCACAGCACTCAGAGGTGGTGGATGTGTGGTTTAGGATGACACATGGCCCCTCCAGCAGTGATTCCTCCCTTGGCTCAGAGGATCCCAGAGAGGCTGAGGCAGTGACAGCTCTGCTGAAGGTGTGGGGTGGGAATAAATCCCAAATGCTGCTTTTCCTGGCTCTGTAACTCCTGTCCCCCTTTCCCCACCCAGGCTGGCTGCATGTACGTCCATGGAGGAGTGGTCAACATCCACGAAAACAAACGGACTGGCTCCCTGTTCAAAATGTGGCTGGTGGTGCCCAGCCTGCTGGAACTGTGCTGGGAGAAGCTCCTGGAATCTTTCCCTCACCTAGCAACTCTCTCCAGATCCCAGCTTTTGCACCTTGGACTGACGCAGGGACTCGTTGAGCGACTAAAGTGAGAGCATCTCCCACTTGTGTCCAAGACTCACCACGTTGAAGAATTCCCCCTCCCACCCACCCCCTATTTATGGATTTCATGGATGGTCTTGCTAAGAACGTGGAGGAACCTGCTCAAGGCCTTACTCAGCAAATACATCAATGCCTTTCCAGACATGGTTACTTTTAGTCATTGGAAAAAAAAAATAAATTCCCCTTTTTATTTATGGAGCTCTAAGTCACACCATTAACCCAAAAGTATTTTCTGAGACTAAGCAGCCAACCAGCAACCTGTCATCAGCACACGCTTGCAATTAACTGGGCAGCTTAATGAGTTACTGAATGTGAGCCCGTGCTTCACGTGGCACCTTCACCCTGGCACTTCCACCATCCCATCCAGCGAGGACATTTGCTGCAGAACAAGCACCAAGCTGCTCTCTTGCTGTGGATGCCCCGTGCCCCCCAGCCAGCTGAGCTGCCCCTGTGCAAAGCCAGGCCATTCCTGCAGCCATCCCTGCATGTGTTCCACGGGCACGTCCCCCCTGAGCTTCCGGAGGCGCTGGAACGTCGCCGGGGCGGCGAGCCGAGCCTGGCCCCTGCAGCTGCCCTCTGCACACTCTGTGTCCTCCCCTCTCACACTCAAAGGTTTGCTTGGAACACGGGGAAAAAGTTGCCACTTAAGGGACTGCTGTGTAGTTTACTGGGGGTGGGGAGGGAAAAGGTTTTCCTGAGGGGTTTTTTTAACCTTTTCGGCTCGCTTTGCACCCAGAATGAGCTACAGCAAAAACTTACCCTGGAGATTTCAGAGCTCTTTGGACCTGCCCTGGTTCTCAGCATCTCCCAGCTGTTGGTTTTCCTTCCTCCCACGTGTCCCAAGTATGCCTTTTTCCTGTTGTTTCACAGTCCCCTGAGGGAGGGAGATGGGATTTAAAGCCAGTTTGGGGAGTGGCTGTGTGGATCTCTCAGCCCAGGAAATGCAGCATCCAAAACAGGGGAGAGGGAACAACTGTCCCTCCTTCTGGGGGCAGGGATTGTCTGTGCACAGGAAAGGGTGGCTCTGGTCCTCTTGTGCTCTCTACACTGCATTTGTTTAAGTGGCCACTGGACTCTGAACAGCTCCAGGCATGAGGTTTGTGCAAAATCCTTTTCAGTTGGAGCCCATTTTTTAAGTGCCTTTTGTTTTTAAAATCAGCTTATTCCAATGCTTTCCTCTTCATCAAAGGCAGAGGTTACACTTTGGAGTTTTAGTTTCTTTTTAAGAGATTGCATTTATGTTTAAATAAACCATAGCATTGTCTTCATGTTGTTAATCCAAAGGTGCTGCCTGCTGGAGTCACTGCCCCCCACACAGGGAGCTCACTCCTTGTCCCAAAATTAAGCTTCCCCTGGTCTTGAGAGTAGATTTTCTTATTTCTCCAGCTTCAGTTGCTGCTTTTTCTCCCTCCAAGGCTCAAAAAAAGTCTGGAGCTCACAGCTGAGGCTTTTCTCAGGTGCTTGGACCACAGGACCTGCTTGGAGCTCTGGTGTCTCCATCCCTGCGTTGCACCTTCACAGGAATTGTGCATTTCAACCCCTTCCCCGCCTCCCTGCCTTGCCTCCCTGCAGGGCCATTTCTGCAGCTCCTCCTTCCATCCCAAACTCTGAGGCTGAACATCCACACTTCCACCTCTGCCTTGTGGGCCTTTGTCCTGGAGCTGCCTGGTTTTTCTCTCACCTGTTTTACAGAGCATCTCCCCTCATCCCCAAGGTGATATTGGAGCTGTCCAAGCCTGGATCTCTGAGCAAGCACATTCCTTAGGCTCTTAGCTTTTTCTTACTCTGGAACTTTCTCTGAGGTTGTCCCAAAGCCTCTCTCGCTGATTTTGGAGCAGTCTTGGGGCTCTGGAGAGGTCTCAGCTGGCTGGAAGCTGTCCCAGTTTTCAAGGGATGACACTGGAAACCACAGGGCTGTCAGTCCCACTTCAGTGCCTGGTAAAACCCTGGAAAAGATTATTCTGGGAAGTGTTGAAAAACCTCTGGTGGACAGCACAGACATGGGGCACAGCCAGCACAGCTTCAGGAGAGGAAAGTCCTGCTTGGCCACCTTGATTTCCTGCTACAGCAGCACAACCCACCTGCATGATCCAGGAAAACCAGGAGATGGGATCTTCAGACTTGAACAAAGTGCCTCCAGGAGAGGCTGGGAGCAGCTCTGGGAGTCCTGGGTGGTGGGACAGCAGTGCCCTGGAGCCAGGAGGGACAGCTCTGTCCTGGGGACAGCAGGGACAGCAGCAGGGGAGGGGATGGGCTGCTCTGCCCAGGCTCCCCAGGGAATGGGAATGGTCCGGGAGCATTTGGACAATGGGTGGGATTGTTGGGGTGGCCTGGGCAGGGCCAGGAGCTGGACTTGGTCCCTGTGGATCCCTCCACCCCCAGCAGCTGGGATAGCATCACCAAGAAAACCACAAGGGTCCAAGGACTTCTCTTTTGCTGATAAAAGCTGAACAAGCACCACCCACTGATGGATTTTCCAGGCGTCTTGCCCATTCCATAACCTCCAAGAGGCTGCTCTTCCTAAAAAAATGACTTGGTTTAAGCACTGAGCTCACAGCTCCTGCTGATGGGGGCTTTAATTGCTGCTGAGCAATTAAAAATTAAATTGCTGCTGTGGGAAAAGCTTTAATTCTAATTCCCTAAGGGAGAGGGAGAGGATCCAGCACCTGCAGCAGCTGATGGAGAGGGGTGGGAGCATCCACAGGGATGGGACAGGATGCCAGGAGACAGGGAAAGCCAGCTCAGAGCAGAATTCCTGAGCAGCCTCCTTGCCTGTGTTAATGCATCTCTCAGTGTTTTGGCTTTGGGATTGTTTTTTGTTTTTAAAGATAATAAATCAGTCCAAGCCCCAACTTTGTCCTCTGACCTCACCCACCAGCATTTCCCAGCATGGAGGGATGTCCCCAGCCTGTCACACCCTATGGACAACACCAGGAGCATCCCTGAACCTTCTCAGGAGGCTGGGACAGCCCTCAAAGCCAGGAGGACCAAAGAGTGAGAGGAGACCAGGCTGGAGATGAGCTGGAACTTTGGGAGGGTCCTGGAGAAAGCTGGAGCCCACAGCCAGCCCTGCTGGCTCTGTCCCTGGGGTGAGGTGACAGAGGACAGGGAATGGTGGCCACAGAGGGGCCCAGGCTGGCGCTTGAGGCTCATTTAAGGAGAAACAAACCTGTTTCTGATTTGTACAAAACTGCTTTAATGACAAAACAGCCGAAAATACCTTTGGGTGCATTTCTGGTGCCATCAAACATCCCGTGTGCAGTTCCCAGGCCTGGGAGGATGAGGGACTTCTCAGGCACCTTCTCCCAGTGCAGCTCATCCCCAGGGAGGGGTCTGTCCTCGAGACGCGCACAAATCCCCTTCAAGACCCTCCTCTGAGGACAGTTTTCCTTCCAGCCACTCGAGGGTGGGCTGGAGATGCCTGTGTGATGTGTTTTGAGGCTCCTCATTTCGGGAGCGACCCCATTGCCACCCCTGAAACCCCAGGGGAGCCCAGCAGGAGCTTCAGGAAACGGCGCTTCCAGACCGGAGCCAGCCCGGCCAAGTCCCTGAGACACTGGAGAAGGTCTTGATGGGTGCTGATCCCAACGAGGGGGTTGGAGAAAGGAGAATCCAGGAGTCCAAACCTCAGCAGCCGCTGGGCGACGGGGCGAAGAAATACACGGCCAGGAGGATGAAGTAAACCATCACCAGCACCGTGCCTGGGCAGACAGAGAGGGTGAGGGAGTTACTCCCTGGAGCGAGGGGGGACATGGGGTTAAAGCCTGGATGATCCCCCCGTGGAGGACTTCCATGGTTCTCTACAAAATGTCCATTAAAAGGGAGTTTAAAACCTTTTAAAGGGGGAAATGGGAGTGATCCCCCTTGGAGCTGCTGTAGGGGGACAGCTCCAAGATGGTCAACCAAGACCCCGGGATCGCCAAGAGCCCCAAAAGATCCCAGAGCTGGAGCCAGGAGCCCCCATCCCACATCCCAGGGAATACAGGGATGCCCCAAGTCCCACAGCAGCCCTGTGGGAGGCGGTCACCTTGGAAGTAGTCACATTTGCCATCCATGAAGATGTAGTTCATGAGCACCACGCTGAACATGCTGGCGTAGACGTGGAGGTCGCTGAAGATGAGGGTGAAGTTGGTTGGCTGTGAGGAACAGGATTTGGGGTTTGTGGCCAACCAGGACAACCCCACACCGACTCTGTCTGGGGACTTGTGTGTCACCCCTTTAACCCCCTGTGCCCCACGTCCCCAGGGTGGGGACGGCACCAGGAGACATCTGACCCCACTTCCCCTGCACTGAGCAGAGGGGAGACACTGGCGAGGGCAGCTGTGTCCTTCCCATGTCCCATGGACACCGTGTCCCCAGCCCTGCTGCAGGAGGTCCCCCAGGGCTGTCCTGGGGCTACTCACGTAGAAGATGGTGAAGAGCACCAGGATGGGGATCTGGAGCATGCAGACCTGCACCGCGATGCAGTTCCCGATCTCGATGCTGGGGAGGAACAACAACTTAGGGGCTGTCTCTGGGTGAGAAAATCCCAAAGCACAGAGCCCATCCCACTTCTGACACCATTTTTGGGTGACTCATCTCCTTGAGGACAAGCTGACACAGACTCTGACCCACCAGTGGCTGGGCAGCCCATCGTGGGCACCAAGGCACGGTTATGGGATTGGGACAGGGCACAGGAACCACCCCAAAACATCCTTGGAGCCATCTCACCTCAAGCTCAGATTGTTCTGCAGGGCAAACTGGATGCCATTGACAATCTCTGGCAGCTCGGGCACCATTGCCAGCACGGTGACACCGATGAAGTACTGCAGGGAAGAGGTGACATCAGCCTGGGCCTGACCACATCCAGGCCCTGGCCAAGCGTGCAGAGCATCTCAGCATCTTTCCCCCAGTCCTTTTGGGGTGCCCATCCCTGGAGGGCACATCCTGGTCCTCGGGGACAGCAGAGGCAGCTCACCTGTGAGATGGTGGAGTTGGTGAGGATGGGGCTGATGTGCTCCGTGGCCAGGTCAGCACAGGCCGACATGCAGAGGGTGGAGAGCAGGAGGATGACCAGGGCCCGCCAGCGGGACCAGTGCACCACGGCGCTGTGGTGGTGGCCAGGCACTGGGGAGAGAGCAGAGACGTGTGGCACGCCCCAGAGCAGTGACAAGAGCCAGCCCTGCAGCCGGGACCTCTGGGGACACTCACTGTGGCAGTCGCTGATGTGGATGTCGTAGATGTGCGTGTGGGTTTTGAGGGTGAAGAAGAGCCCGATGAGGTAGGCAGCAGGGAGCAGGATGGACACGGTGTACACCAGGGGTCTGTGGGACACAGGTGACACCGTCAGTGCCACCAGGGTCTGGCATGGACACCCCAGGGGATGAGGGGGCACGAGGAAATGGGGCACTGGGTCATTGGGGTGGAGAGGGGCCCTGGGAGGGATGCGGGAACACGACCAAACCCAGGAGGTGCCACCCCAGTGTGGGGACAGCCCTGTCCCCTGCACAGTGGGCACTCACTGGACGTGGCTGTAGTAGAGGGTGCCGTTGTTGTCCATCTGCAGAGAGAGCACCTGTCAACAGGGATACGGGGGACAAGGGACAGCCCTGCTGCCACCACCCAGCACGGGAGCCTGGGGGGCTCAGAGCATCCCCGACCCCAAACTCCCCCTGCTGGGGGGCCAGGTCCCCACTCACCAGGTCAAAGTGACAGTTGTGGCAGAGGTAGTGGCCCAGCGGGTTCTGGGTGACGTTGTGGCACTCGCCGCAGACCAGCTTCCCGTACACCTTGGAGAAGAGCGTTGGGGCAAAGACACCTGCGGGGACAGGACATGGAGCAGGCCCCCACCCCCGGGACCCCCCAGGCCTGGGGACAGCCCTGTCCCCAACTCACCTCCCACGGAGAGGAAGAGCAGGGCCGAGCTGACGCCGGCGGAGCGGCTGTTGAAGCGCTGCTCCTGGTGCCGGATGCCCCCGATCACCATGCACAGACCCTTGGGGATGGAGAAACCCCCCCAAAAAATAAAATCCCCCATCAGTGCTTCGCTGACAGCGCCCTCCCAGCTCTCAGTGCCACCCGTCTCACCGGCACGAAGAGGACACAGCCCACCAGGGTCCCCGTCAGCGCAGACTTGACCACCTCGGCGTAGCAGCGGTTGCCCTCGCGCGAGCCCTTGATGAGCGCGGTGATGTAGAAGGTGAGCTCGGTGATGGAGCCGAACGTGGCGTTCACCACCGCCCCCACCGCGAAATTGCTCTGGGCCGAGATGCTGGAGAGGAGGAAAAGTGTCACCGCAGGGCTGGAGTGTCCCCCCTTTGCCACCCCTGTTGCTCACCTGGCGATGGCCATGCCGATGTAGTAGGAGAGGGGCATGATGGAGAGCAGCGCCAGGGTGAACTTGACGGCGGAGCCCGTCAGGCGGTTGGGGCTGTCCACGTAGCCCAGCACCAGCGTCACCAGCACCAGCGGCAGCAGGTCTGGGGTGGCCAGTCAAGGACACAGCACAGGGGGGGAGGATTTGGGGTCACTCCCACCCGTCCCCCCCGCCAGGAGGATACTGACAGCGAAGACGTTGATGCCGTCCACGGCGTATTTGTAGTAGTAGGGGTTGGCAGCACGGTAGCAGCAGAGAATCACCTCTCCCTCCAGAGGCACCTCCGTCTGCAGGGGGACAGGAGCGTCACCCCCAGCCCAAAATCCCCCCCGGAGCAGGGCGTGGGACCCTGCCCTGCCAGAGGCTCTCACCATCCGGAGGCGCCGGACGAGCAGGCGGCGCGGGGGCAGCAGCAGGACGCGGGAGGCGGCGCGGGCGCTCAGCTTGGCCACGGGGATGAGGACGATGAGGAGCCACGCGGCGACGCACACCAGCCCGTGGGCCAGCGCCAGCAGAGGGTAGCCCAGGCACAGCCACACTGCGGTGCTGGCATGGTGCTGGTAACAGAGGTCACCTTCAGGGGCTGACCCCAAGACAACGAGCCCAGGGAGGGAAGGGGCCCACGGGCACCTTGCCCACACGCTGGGGGCTCCAGGGGGATGGCAGTGCGGCCAGCATGGGGCTCACCCAGTATCCAGTGCCCACCCAGCACCGTGGGCGCCAGCGGAGCGCTGTGGGACCCCCGAGCAGGGCTGAGCTCTCCCCCACGCTGGCCTCACTCGCCTGAGGGGATTTGGGCACCTGGGGAGAGGGGGGATGTCAGGGTGTGCGTGGGGCACCCCAAAATCCCCCCAGGGGTTCCCAAGGCACCCTCACCTCCACTTTCTGGATCACTTTGCCAAAGGGCCAGAGGAAATACCCGGCCAGGTCCCAGCAGAGCCTGCCTGTGGAGACACAGCCATCAGCGTCCCTTCCACCAACAGGGACACTCCATGGAGGAGGGACCCAGGAGACCCCGACACCCATCACTGCAGTTCTGAGCTCACCCAGCCCTCACATGGGGGGTCCCCAATTTGGAACTCACCATAAGGAGCCCCCATGACAGTGATGAACATCACGGCAGCCACGAGGACATAGAGGAGCGAGAGCCACCAGCCAAAGAGCAGCAGGTAAAGGACATTGCCACACGTCAGCGAGGACCCTGCGGGAGGGAAGGCACCAGCTGGGACCACTGTCACCTGCCCAAATCCACGCTGGGCTGTCCCAGGCCCACCCACCACTGTCACCTGCCCAAATCCACGCTGGGCTGTCCCCAGGCCCACCCACCCACCACTGTCACCTGCCCAAATCCACTCTGGGCTGTCTCAGGCCCACCCACCACTGTCACCTGCCCAAATCCACGCTGGGCTGTCCCCAGGCCCACCCACCTCCAGAGGCTCGGATGATGTTGAGGTCTGAGTAGAGCTCCTTGACAATCTCTGACCGGTCCTCCCATGGCCGCGCCGTCACGTGGCTCTTCCATTTCTTGAAGCCAAACTGCAGAAAGAGTTGGTTTATTTTTTTGAGATGAGCAAAGAGGAAGACAATTAAAACCCAATGCAGCCCTCCAGGAGCACCCGTGGGTGCCCCCACCCACCTTGTAGTTGTTGGAGAGCTTGTTGGCCTCCACGGCGTTCTCGGCCGTCAGGGTGGTTTTCACCACGCAGCTCTCGCACACCTCCTCCGAGTGCTGCTGGCAGCAGGACGGCGTGGACGTGGCTGTGGGTGACACCCGGGGGTGTCACAGCGGGTGTGGCCCCCCCAGAGCCCCCCAGCCAGCCCGTCCCACAGCCAGCCTACCTGGGGTGCCGCGGGGCCGGTGCAGGTGGCAGCCCAGCTCCCCCAGGTCCGCCTGCGCGTTGTTGATGGCAGCGCAGTGCCGCTCGCACAGGGAGCCCCGGCGGGGGCCGTCGCTGTCACCGCGGGGATCCGCGACCTTGGCAGCCCCTGCGGGAGCCGCTGGAGTCACAGCCCGGTGCCGCTGGGCTGGGCCGGCACTCTGCTCCCCACACCCGCCGGGGGGCACGGGGGTGCTCGGGAGGGGGGACCCCACCAGCACCGGGTACGCGGCGGGGAAATCCCGCTCGGTGCCCGGTGTGTGGGTCGGGAGGGGGTGAGCCGGCGGTGCCCAGGGGTGGGAGGGAGCCAGTGGTGCCCGGGGATGGGGGAGTCAGGGATGGGGGAGTCAGGGATGGGGGACCCCCTCTGGTTCCCCCCGTTCCCCTGAGCTCACCGGGCGTGTCCTGCGCGCAGCAGCGGCGCCGCCGGCCGGGCTCTCCGTCCGTGGCCATGGCGAGAGCGGCGGGCGCGGGGCCGGTGGTCCCGGCCCGGCCCGGCCCGGCGGAATTTAACGGGCGGGGCCGGACGTGCGCGCCGCGGGAGCCGCCCCCGCCGCGGCCGGGATGCACCTGGGAGCGGTGCGGGAGCGGGGATCGAGCGGGGATGGGATGGGCGGTGTTCTGGGGTGCGCAGGTGGGAGGATGCAGAGATTGGGGTGTGCAGGTGGAAAGGGGTGCGCAGGGATCGAGATGCGCGGGGACCGCGGGGCGCGGAATAACGGGGTGCACAGAGAGCGGGGTGCGCGGAATAACGGGGTGCAGGGAGAACGGGGTGCGCGGTGTTTTGGGGTGCACAGAGAGCGGGGTGCGCGGTGTTTTGGGGTGCAGAGGGACCGGGGTGCAGAGAGAGCGGGGTGCGCGGTGTAACGGGGTACACAGAGAGCAGAGTGCGCGGTGTTTTGGGGTGCAGGGAGAGAGGGTTGTGCGCGGTGTAACGGGGTACACAGAGAGCAGAGTGCGCGGTGTTTTGGGGTGCAGGGAGAGAGGGGTGTGCGCGGTGTTTTGGGGTGCACAGAGAGCGGGATGCGCCGTGTAACGGGGTGCAGAGAGCGGGGTGCACAGAGAGCGGGGTGCGCGGTGTTTTGGGGTGCACAGAGAGCGGGGTGCGCGGTGTTTTGGGGTGCAGAGGGAGTGGGGTATGCGGTATTTTGGGGTGCACAGAGAGCGGGGTGCGCGGTGTTTTGGGGTGCAGGGAGAGCGGGATGTGCGGTGTTTTGGGGTACACAGGTGAGAGGCTGCAGATATTGGGGTGCTGGGGAACCAGGGGGCACAGGGATGTGGGGTGCGTGGTGTATCGGGGTGCCCGGGAATTGGGGTGCGAGTGTGTGGGGCACGCACGGGGATCGGAATGAACAAGGTCTGGGGTGTGCCAGGGATCGGGGTGCACGGGGATGTGGGGTGCCGTTAGGGCCTGCAGGAACAGGGGTCTGCCAGGTATTGGGGTGCACGGGGAGCCGGGGCTGTGCGGAGTTGGGGTGCACGGGGAGCAGAAGGTGTGCAGTGTTGGGGTGCACAAGGAGGGGATGTGCAAAGTTGGGGTGCACAAGGAGGGGATGTGCAAAGTTGGGGTGCACAAGGAGGGGATGTGCAAAGTTGGGGTGCACAAGGAGGGGATGTGCAAAGTTGGGGTGCACAGGGAAGGGATGTGCAATATTGGGGTGCACAAGGAAGAGGTGTGCAGTGTTGGGGTGCACAAGGAAGGGATGTGCAATATTGGGGTGCACAAGGAAGGGATGTGCAGAGTTGGGGTGCACAAGGAAGGGATGTGCAATATTGGGGTGCACAAGGAAGGGATGTGCAGAGTTGGGGTGCACAGGGAAGGGATATGCAATATTGGGGTGCACAGGGAGCAGGGGCTGTGCAGAGCGGGGTGCGCGGTGTTTTGGGGTGCAGGGAGAGCGGGATGTGCGGTGTTTTGGGGTACACAGGTGAGAGGCTGCAGATATTGGGGTGCTGGGGAACCAGGGGGCACAGGGATGTGGGGTGCGTGGTGTATCGGGGTGCCCGGGAATTGGGGTGCGAGTGTGTGGGGCACGCACGGGGATCGGAATGAACAAGGTCTGGGGTGTGCCAGGGATCGGGGTGCACGGGGATGTGGGGTGCCGTTAGGGCCTGCAGGAACAGGGGTCTGCCAGGTATTGGGGTGCACGGGGAGCCGGGGCTGTGCGGAGTTGGGGTGCCCGGGGAGCAGAAGGTGTGCAGTGTTGGGGTGCACAAGGAGGGGATGTGCAAAGTTGGGGTGCACAAGGAGGGGATGTGCAAAGTTGGGGTGCACAGGGAAGGGATGTGCAATATTGGGGTGCACAAGGAAGAGGTGTGCAGTGTTGGGGTGCACAGGGAGCAGGAGGTGTGCAGTGGGTGCTGGGGAACCAGGGGGCACAGGGATGTGGGGTGCGTGGTGTATCGGGGTGCCCGGGAATTGGGGTGCGAGTGTGTGGGGCACGCACGGGGATCGGAATGAACAAGGTCTGGGGTGTGCCAGGGATCGGGGTGCACGGGGATGTGGGGTGCCGTTAGGGCCTGCAGGAACAGGGGTCTGCCAGGTATTGGGGTGCACGGGGAGCCGGGGCTGTGCGGAGTTGGGGTGCACGGGGAGCAGAAGGTGTGCAGTGTTGGGGTGCACAAGGAGGGGATGTGCAGAGTTGGGGTGCACAAGGAGGGGCTGTGCAGAGTTGGGGTGCACAGGTCTGCCAGGTATTGGGGTGCACGGGGAGCCGGGGCTGTGCAGAGTTGGGGTGCACGGGGAGCAGGGGGTGTGCAGTGTTGGGGTACACAAGGAGGGGATGTGCAATATTGGGGTGCACAAGGAGGAGGTACATGGGAAGCAGGGTCTGTGGAGCAGACCGTGAGCAGGAATGGGGTGCACGATGAATTTGGGGTGCACAGGGTGTCAGGGGGCAGCAGGACTGGGGTGCACAGGAGTGTGGGGTCTGTGCTGGGGGGCACAGGGGGCACAGGGACTGACTGGGGTGTGGGATACATTGGGGTACACAGTGTATTGGGGTGCACAGGGACTGGGATCTGTGATCCTTTGGGGTGCACAGGGGATCTCTGATGTATTGGGGTACAGAGGGACATTGGGGTGCACAGAGAGTGGGGTTTGTGATGCATTGGGGTGTACAGGGAGCAGAGTGTGCCGGGTGTTGGGGTGCACAGACACTGGGATGTGTGATCTGTTGGGGTGCAGTGCATTGGGGTGCACAGGGACTGAGGGGTGTGATCTACTGGGGTGTGTGATGTATTGGGGTGCAGGGACTGGGATCTGTGATGTATTGGGGTGCACAGGGACATTGGGGTGCAGAGGCACTGGGAACTGTGATCCTTTGGGGTGCAGGGACTGGGATCTGTGATGCATTGGGGTGCACAGGGACTGGGATGTGTGATCCTTTGGGTGCAGAGGGACATTGGGGTGCAGGGACTGGATCTGTGATCCTTTGGGGTGCACAGGGACATTGGGGTGCAGAGGCACTGGGAACTGTGATCCTTTGGGGTGCAGGGACTGGGATCTGTGATCCTTTGGGTGCAGAAGGATCCATGTGGGGCTGTGGGAAGCGGCTGTGCAGGATCCTGGCAGCACAGAGGGATTCGGGTCCTGGGGCTGCAGAGCCCAGGGCACCCAAGGGTGCCCCATGGGATGGGCTCTGCCTGAGGATCACCACTTTTGGTGAAAGAAAGGAATTCTGCACTTCAAGGTTTTAGAATGTGAGACTGATGGACCTCACAGGGCTGTGCTGCCCTTGAGGGGAGAGGTCTGGGGTAAAACCCTCTAAATGTGGTTCTTGAACATTCCTGTGTGTACAGGGATGGACGTGGGCACGCTGACCACAAGAAAAACCCCAGAAGTGTTTGATAAAACAAACTCATTTAATCCAAGAACCAAATGAGCCTCTTTGTCACCAGTTCCTTGGAAAAACCCAGGTCCCCCGGGGGAGAGACACAGAGTCACCAAAACCAGCCAGTTCACACCAAAACCAGCAAAGTTCCAAACGTTCCTCTTCCTCCCCCCAGTAAAAAACACAGTACAATGATTCCATGTGTTATGGTCCTATGTACACTGCTAAACCACTCATTTTCCAGAATTTACAACAAATCCTCCCCCTGCCCCTTGGAGAAATTTCACAAATATTGATTGATCCTTTCTTTGAAGCAAATCCAAGTGCTTTTACCAAAAAAAAAAAGGACATTCCCACAAACCTGTGGGTGTGCAGGGCCTGGTTTCCCACCAGGGTGCATAAAGCTCCCAAATTAGTGAAAAAAACTGAAGGAAAATTAAATTCAAAACCAAGGCAGGTGAGAGCTGGTGGCAGTGAAGGTACCTGGGGTACCTTCATTGTACAAAATAATAAAAATAAAAATTAAAAATATAAGTAAAATTGTTATTAGCTGAACTCAGCAGGACAAACATGGTTTTGTCTTTCCTCTTCAGCTGCAGGAACATCTTGAGGGGTCAGAGATCACAATTACACCAATAATCAGGGATAAAAATAATTGGTTTTTATCATGCAGAATAAAATGAAGCAAAACTGAGTCTGAGCTTCCAGACTTGGCGTTTCTTGGATGCTGAAGCTGTCCAAGCTGCTTTGTCCCTCCAAGTGCTGAGAGCTCGCACAGCCTTGGGGAGGCTGCTCCAGCTGCACCTCCAAGGGAAGTCTGGTTTGGTTTGGTTTGGTTTGGTTTGGGCTGAGATCAGCGAGGCTCAGTTTGAACAGGGCTGGCTGAGGGGAGGAGCAGGAAGGAGAACTCCTGCCTGGAGTTCACTCACAGGAGCCTCCCCACAGTGAAATATTCCTTGAGAAAATGCACAGGGAACTGCAGGCACTTCCTCCCTCTGTCCCAAAGCTGAGCTTTAATTTAAGTCCATGTTTGAGTTCAGCCCTCAGGGCCGTGCTGTGCTCCAGGCTGTGTCCCGTTATTCCCCAAAGATCCACAGCACGTTGACTCCTGATAAACCCAGATTGACACGCCTGCAAACCCAAAGGGGTCACAATGAGCCATTTCCATTTAAAAGCTGCTGTTAATTCCATTTCAGCACCATTAATTATCACCCCCCTGTGGTGGTTTTGGTCTGACACCATTCCTGCCTGCAAATCCCAAAGGGATCACAATTAGCCATTTAAAAGCTGCTGTTAATTCCATTTCAGCACCATTAATTATCACCCCCCTGTGGTGGTTTTGGTCTGACACCATTCCCATCTTGTTCCCGTGGGATACCTACCCCAGCATCCCGGATTCCTTGGTCTTGATGATGTACAGGAACATCAGCAAGGTGTGGAACATGTTGTTCCTGCCCTGGAGCCACAGAGAGACAAGGATTTAGAAACCAAAACAATTAAAAATCTCAGGATTTTCCTACTTTGGAACTTCCCCTCGGAATTTGCACTGGCCTCAAGGGGTGACATCACCCACCAGGGATTGGGATTTGGGGTTTTACAATAAATTAGAAAATCAATAAGAGGAAGGTCCTGCTTAGGAACTCCTGAACAGCCACCACAGTATTCAGCAGCACAGCAAGGACCACGTGCTGGGCAAAGAGCAAGCTGGACCAGCCTCGGTGTCAATGCACAAAAACGTGGGTAGGGTTTAAAAAGATCCCAAACCAGGCCTGGGATGGTTGCAGGAGCAGGAGGAGAACAAACCCTGTACCTTGGGCAGGCTGTAGACGTGGCACTCGTAGATCAGCTCGTAGTGGGGCGGGTTGATGCTGCTCTGGTAGATGCAGAACACGTTTTCGTTTGAAGTGTCTGGATTAAAAATTAATTAAAAACAGATTTCAGAGGTGCTGCTGTGATCCCAGAGGAAAAGAGCAGCTCCAGGCCAGCCCAGTACCTGGTTTGTCTGGAGTCTGGATGAAGTGCTGGGAAGTGAAGGTTTTGCCATCGGGGTACTTGGGGTGAGGAGGGAGCCTGGAGTCCAGGTACGTGCAGAACACGTGCATCAGGATCTGAAAAACACAACCAAACCTCACTGGAACAGCCCCAAAACCCAGCAGCTTCCTCCCTGGGAGCCCAGGAGTCCATCCCAGTCTTTGCCAATCTGTGCCTGGCTTAAGCCCAGGCTCAGGAGCAGCTTCATGCCTAAATCACCAATTTCAGATTTGGCTGAGAACAGCAGAGGAGCTCAAAACCAGCTCTGCCCACCCCAAACCCAGCAAGGAAACTTCTCCCTTTCCCTCATGAAAGCCTGGGCTGGCCACAAGCCTTAGGAATGCCAAAATTGGGAAATAAAGTCCTGGGATGAGCATCTGAAAACCAGGGGGCAGCCTGAGGGTTGTTTCAGCCCCTTCTGGAGAGTTCTCAGTATTTTATGTGGGTAACATCAGCAAATCATCTGTGATCTGGTGCTTTCTGTGTTCCTTATACCCAACAGGAGCTGTTTGGCAGGGAGAACAGAGGATTTGCTGGGAAAAAATACCACAAATCTTAAAAAATCTGGGATATGCAGCTTGGACCTCACAGCATTTTATCACTCACAATTAAGAAAAATATGAAATTGTCTTTTTTTTTTTTTTTTTTTGCTAATAGCCTTAAATTAATGTCAAAACTTCTTCATTTGCACTTTTCCTGTTTACCAGGACACTCAGAGCCGCTCCACAGCTGGACAATTTCAAATATTTAACCACCTTCCCAGAAGGTATTTTCTGGTATTTAACCAGAAAATCAAATCCTATTTTAATGTTGATCTTCCACTTCCAGCAATGGAATCTCTTTAAATACCCAAAGCTTTGCTTTTCTGATTTTCCCATGCTCCCCAAAGGCTCCCTGGCTGCTCCCTCCAAACCCTATCCCAAAATGAGGTGTTATGAATAGAAAGTTATATTTTTTTTAGGTGGCAGAGTTAAAACCAAGTCCGACCAGTTGCTGTAAGCTGGTTTCTGGCTAAGGAGGAGTTCCTCAATTACCCGTTAATGGCTGGTGATTAACCACTGTCCCCCTGATGCTGGCCCTTGCCAGGGAGGGACACGGGACAGACCCAGAACAGCAGTGACATCAGAGCCAGTGTGCAGATGAGAAATGCATTGCACCCCGAATTTTTACAGTTTTTACAGGAAAAACCCCTAAAATCACGAGCCAACAAGTGACCTAAGTGACGCCTGAGGATGGGAGTGCAGTCCCGTACCTGCTTGGACCCTTTTGCTTCTCACCCTAACCTGAAAAGATGTTGATTAAAGAGACACCCCGGGGTGTTAGACAAACAAGCTGCAATCTGCGACTCTCCGTGAGGATGGAATCCCCAGCTCTGCCTGCAGACCAGGACAAAGCTGCATCCTCCTCCTCCTCCTCCGTGCCATGCCTGGGACCCGTCGGCTTCTCCCCACCTGAGCTGGTTCTTCTCAATAAAGGCATTAAAAAGGACAAAGATCTCCTGCCCATTTATTTCACGAGGCACCCCCGGGCTGCCGGTGCCCGGACACTCACCGAGGAGTCGGTGGGAAGGTCCGTGTCCCACTTCCTGCCCTTGAAGTCCCCTCCTCCGTTCCAGCGGAAGGAGCTCATGCAGCCCCCCTGGGAGAGCTCTGCAATTACAGCGGCTACTCAGTTCTCAGGAACATTCAGTGGGTACTCAGTTCTCAGGAACACTCAGTGGGCACTCAGGTCACAATTCAGTGGGTACTCAGGTCACAGGAACATTCAGTGGGTACTCAATTAATTCACAATTCAGTGGGCACTCAATTAATTCACAATTCAGTGGGCACTCAGGTCACAGGAACAACAAGGGCTGCTCACCCCCGGGGCTGGAGGAGCAGCACAGGGGGAAACGGGGGAGGAAACGGGGGAAATGGGGGAGAAAATGGGGGATTCAAAGTGGTGGGGAAGGTAGTGATGAAATTCCAATTGGTAGGGAAGGTATTGATGAAATTCAAATTGGTAGGGCAGATATTGATAACATTCCAATTGGTAGGGAAAACATTGATGAAATTCAAATTGATAGAGAAGATATCAATATCTTCCCTACCAATTTTAATTTTATCAATAAAATTCAAATTGGTAGGGAAGGTATTGATAACACTCAAATTGGTAGGGAAGGTATTGATGAAATTCCAATTGGTAGGGGAGATATTGATAAAACTCAAATTGGCAAGGAAGGTATTGATAAAATTCCAATTGGTAGGGAAGATATTGATAAAATTCCAATTGATAGGGAAGATATTGATGAAATTCAAATTGGTAGGGAAGGTATTGATGACATTCCAATTGGTAGGGGAGATATTGATGAAATTCCAATTGGTAGGGAGACATTGATCAAAGGGGTGAAGTTGATTTTTGTTTGTGGATAATGAAGTGATTCAATCCCTTTGCACCCTGAGCAGGCAGGAGGGAATCACGGAATGGTTTGGACTGGAGGGAAGCTGAAGGATGGTGCAGTGCCACCCCTGCCCTGGCAGGGACAGTTCCCAGTGCCCAGGGTGCTCCAGCCTGCCCAGCCTGGCCTGGGACCCTGCAGGGGTGCAGGGACAGCTCTGGATCCAGAGCAGTAATTCCCTGCAGCGTGGAAAGGTCTGGGAACACCACGAACCTCTGATCCTTTCCACCAAGTACTCCTGGTTCGGGGTGAGGTCCAGGTACTGCACCAGGGCGTTGAGGGTGGGGATGAGCGGGGCTTTCACCAGGGCTGCCTGCTTCAGGCTGCTGATGCTGGCTTCTGCAACAGAGACGGGCCTGAGCGGGCACTGCCAGCCCAGACTGGCACTGCCAGCAACACCGACACCCCAGACTGGCACTGCCAGCCCAGACTGGCACTGCCAGCTGCCTGCCAGGCTGCAGGCACCGGCAGCCCAGACTGGCACTGCCACCAACACTGACAGCCCAGACTGGCACCGGCAGCCCAGACTGGCACTGGTGGCACTGCCAGCCCAGACTGGCACTGCCAGCTCCTGCCAGGCTGCAGGCACCGGCAGCCCGGACTGGCACTGCCAGCAACACTGACAGCCCAGACTGGCACCGACAGCCCAGACTGGCACTGCCAGCTCCCTGCCAGGGTGCAGACACTGACAGCCCAGACTGGCACTGCCAGCCCAGACTGGCACTGCCAGCCCAGACTGGCACTGCCAGCTCCCTGCCAGGGTGCAGACACTGACAGCCCAGACTGGCACTGCCAGCCCAGACTGGCACCGACACCCCAAACTGGCACTGCCAGCTCCCTGCCAGGGTGCAGACACTGACAGCCCAGACTGGCACTGCCAGACCAAACTGGCACTGCCAGCAACACCGACAGCCCAGACTGGCACTGCCAGCTCCCTGCTGCAGACACTGCCAGCCCAAACTGCACCCAGACACCACACAGTAGCACACAGCTCCTTCACCTCAGCTACAAGGAAGCAACAGGAATTTGAAGGGCAGCGGGAGAGAAACAAAGTGAAAACAAAAGCAGCAGCTGCGGGTTTTAAGCACTTTGCAACAGTAGCTTTGGAGGAAACACTCTAAGAACAACCCAAAAGAGGCATTTAATTAAAACCAGCACATCAAATCCACTGCTGTGTTAATGTGAAACAACGGGAGAAGCAGCTGCTACAGAATCCTAACCTGACATGAAAAACAGAACCCCAGTTCATCAGAATTTTAAGAAAATTTACAGAATTTTAAAACCCTGTTCTTTCATGAAGTGGATGAATTGAAGGAAGAACTTCGAAAGCACACAGTGAGACTTTTGGGAGACACAAACTTTGAAACTTTACCAGAATTTTAAGAAAATTTACAGAATTTTAAAACCCTGTTCTTTCATGAAGTGGATGAATTGAAGGAAGAACTTGGGGAAAGCACACAGTGAGACTTTTGGGACACACAAACTTTGAGAATTTAAGCACATCTGTCTTTGGAATGCTTTCTGCCTGATAAATAATAAATTATTATAGCTAATTTGAGCTGTAAAATTAAATTTATGGGAGGAAAAAATAAGCATTTAAGAATAGTACCCAAGTGTCCAAGCACTGATATTCACAGAAGTATTACAGAAAACCTTGCCAGCTTAAAGAAATGCAGGAGGTGGAACAAAGACAACACCAAAAGAGAGCAGAAATGGAACAAAAATATTCCCCAGCCCTCCTTTATGTAACAGCCATTGCAAGGGAATTCCAGGCTGATCCCACCTCCAATCTGCAGCTCTGGACAGCCCATCCTCCTCAGCTGGGTGCTCACAGACTCCATCTCCTCCACCAGCGGCACCAGAATGGTGTCGTTGATCCACTGGGAGGGAAAAGGGAAAAGCCAAGCTCAGAGCGACAGGAATGTTCAATAAACCCCTCAGCTGACACCCCACAAAGCAGTTCAACAGAAACACTGCAGCCAATCAGGGAGGGAAATAATTTAATTTAATTTAATTATCAAGCCAGAGAGAATTTAAGTGACCCTTGAACAGCTTCTGAAAAGGCAGAAAATTCAATGGATAGGAGTTGGGAAAACCCATCTGTGTCAGGTACAGCTTTTTGGACAACGAGGAAAGGGGATTATGGATCACAGCCCCCCAGGCACAAAGGGATGGACCCAGTCCCTCTCCTGTTGGTTCAGGATAGCAGGAGATGAGAAATTTGTGGGATCTGTGTGTGACAGAGCACCCCAGCCCTCAGACAGGCACTGCAACCCTTCCCACCTCAGGCACAGAGCACAGGGAGGAATTCTCCCCCTTGGAGCTCCTCAGGGAGGGACTTACATTCCTGAATTTTGCTGTCCAGGAATCCATGTGATCCAGGAGCTGCCGGTTCATCGTCACCCGTGCCCAAACCTGTGGAAAGGTTCATGAAATCCACATGAGAACCTCACAGGGTTTTTAGGGTCTGTGACAATCCCTGCTGCTTGCAAACCAAAGGAGCTGGCTGAATGCTGCAGGGTGTTTTTTCCCCCACATTCCTGCTCAAATCCAAACCTTTGCACAAAGGTGTGTTTTAAAATCCCATCTCCCTCTTTTGAATTTTTTGGTGGAATTTACCTCTTCTGCAGCCTGCTTGGAGGTGAGATCAGCTTCATCCTTGTGTGCAGAAGGAGCCTGGGACCTGCAGGCCAGCTGGTACTGGAACTTCCTGAGGATCTGAGCGTGGTCTGCCATGGAGCGGCTGTAGTTCCAGAACGTTGGGCTGCTGGAGGGAGAGCTGGAGTCTGAGCTTCCTGGAAAGGTGAATCCAGCAAGAGTTAAGTTCAATTACTGCCAAGGGATTCTGGAGAAACAGCACAGGGAGAACAGGTCACTGTGAGGGAATGCACTGAAGTCACTCTGCAGAAACACTGCACTTACCCTTAGCTTGATGGTCCCAACCCAGGAGAAAAACTTACTGGGTGTGTTCATCCCCTTTATCCTTATCTTGACTGTCCCAGTCCAGGAGAAAAATGTCCTGGATTCAGCCCCTTATCTGGAACCACTTGGACAAAACCCCCCTCTGACCAAGGTGATCTTATCTCAGTCCCTTACAGCCACAGAGATAACCCAGCAGCATTCCCATGCCCAGATCCTGCTCCCAGGAACAACGGGAGGAAAACTGCCTGAAGGGGAACAGTGGGGCTCTACCTCCCACCCCAATTCCTCACCAGGAGCAGCTCCTTTGCCCAGCTCACAGGTGATCCATAAATGGATAAATAAATAAAGCCTCTTTACTGGGACTTCTCCCAGCACCTCTTCCCTGCCCAGCTTTTCCCAGCAAACCCCAGTTTACCCAGCTGAACTCGGTGCTGCTTCTCCTCCTCGTTCCTCAGGAAGGTGTCCAGGGATTTGACATCTGTGATGCAGTCATCTTTGTAGGTGGAATTATTGTAGAGGATGGGGGAGAATCGATAGTGAGACCTGATCCCACCGCTGTCCCCAGGCCCCACACCCATGGAGTAGGGAGATCCATTGGGAGAGTGGCTGAAGCTGGAAACCTCGGGGGAGAAAACAACAACAAAAATAATTAATTTTTTTAACCGACAAGGCTCCGTGGCACCGGGGGTGCTGTGGTGCTTACCTTGGTGTAGCTGCTGCTGGGTGAGTAGGTGGCAGAGGTGCTGTGGGAGGGGCTGGCTCCTGCCAGGGCCTGGAGCTGGGGGCTGTAGCCAGCGAGGCAGCCCCCGGGGAACTTGGGGCTGGCGCTGGGCGAGCGCGAGGGGCTGTAGCTCAGCACACACTGGCCCTGGCTGGGCGGCGATGGAGGCAGGGACAGCACGCGCTTGGCCTCCCGGGGAGGGGTGACCTGTACAGCTGCAGGGGACAGCCAGCACGTCACCCAAAAACTGAATTGAAACAGCACTTAAAGCAGTTTTAGAGATGGTAAAGGGGATGCTGGAAAGCTGGTCCCAGCAGAGCTCCCATAAAGATGAGCCCCGTGAGCCCAGCTTGGAATGCAAAAACTGAATTGAAACAGCACTTAAAGCAGTTTTAGAGATGCTAAAGGGATGCTGGAAAGCTGGTCCCGGCAGAGCTCGGATAAAGAGCTGTGAGCCTGGCTTGGAATTAATTTTTCTGGGGGCTTCTCTGATATCCCATCAGCTCCTCCCTGCCCACTGCTCCTCTGTGCCACACTAATTAACATCTCAATCATCTAACACGCAATTAGCTCCACCTCCACACGTGAAACCATGAGGAGCAGCGTGGAGCCCTGCACAGGACAGCCCCAAACGCCCAGCCCAGCTTACAGCTCTTGCAGGATACAATCCAGCCACAAGTGCAGAAGCACCAAAAAGCCAGGAAAAGGCCAAGAAGAGGGCTTGCTCCCCACCTGCCCTGCGCAGCCAGCCCACGAGCTGCTGGCTGGGGCTCGTCACCAGGCTGGCTGGGGCTGCTGTGTAGGTGAAGTACCTCCAGAAGTCAAACAGGGCGTTGAGGCTGAACAGGGCTGCCAGGGCAAACTCTGCAACACACACACGAGTTTGGCACAAATGACATCATCTGCAAAGCCAGGCTGTGTCTGCTTAAAAAAGGTCATTATTAGTGCTGCCAGTTTGGGAAATATCCAAGATTTCTTCACTTTCTTATGCAAAAACCATTGGAGATAATTTTCCTCAGTGCTGAAATTAATTTAAACATTTTAAAATTTAATTTTTAAAATGGGATTTTTATTTTCCAAAAAGGAAATCTCATGATTCTTGCTTCTTTCCATCCTGTTTGACAGAGCTTACAGTCTCCTCCTCTGAAATCAACTTGAACTCTTGTAAGATTTCACCCACACCCAGAGCACAGCACAGCAGGAAAATAAATCTAAGGCTCTCTAGAGCCTTAATCCACACATTAAGAAAGATTTCACACATTAACTGAGTCCTCCTGCCTATTTACCACAGAGAAAAGGCTGTTAACCCTCCTTTGTCTGCCCCTAAAAGGATGGAACTCCAGCTTCAAGGGGGATCACAGAAAGCAAAACAAAGTTTTGGTTTAAAACACAAACAGAAAAAACCCTGCCCTAAAAACAACCTCCCAGCAATAAAAATTATTAAAGAACAGCCCTGAAATTTGATTTAAATGCTGCAACGACTCACCAATGTACCAGAGGGGAAAGCAGGTGATGTTGTAATACGTGCTTAGGATTTTCCCAGTCCTGAAAAACAAAACCAGGCAGGATTGAGCAGAAATTCCATCCTGGGGGGTATTTAGGGCTGGATCTTTGCTGGTTTGGATCAGATGGAACAACCAGCTTACATTTCAGTGTAGATCATGCCTGCTACAGATATATTGAGGAGCCCCCAGGCCAGCACCACCTTCCTGGTCTCAGCCTGCTTCCTCATCCTCACGGCCAGGTCGATCAGGGAGGTGTCTGGGCTCTTACTCGGGGTCATTGTCTGTGGGAACACGGGAAAAGCAAAACCTGTGAGTTCTCCCTCGGCAGGAAGGGTCTCAGCCAGGTCACTGAGGAGCAGGGTCCATCCTCTCCCTCCTTTCTGAATAACAATGTCCTTCAAAAAGGAGGGAAAGCTCTGCCTCCTCCAGGCAAGAGCAGTGCTGTTAGCAAAGATTCTCACTTGTCTCAGTAGGTAACAGAGTGTTTTCTGTCACATCAAACCCACAGATTTGATTTCCTCCTTCATGCCCAGTAACACCTTATATGAAGGAGATAACTGTGTCCCAGGCAGGCAGCCCTCACATCTCCCCCAGACCTCAACCCCTTCCCCAAACTTCTCCTCTCCCCCCAGTCAAACTTCACCTTTCCCCCACGCAAAGCCCTCCTCTCCCTCACCCCAAACCTCTCTGATGATCCTCCTCCTCAAACATTTCTGATCCCCCTCTCCAAATTTAAACTCTCCTGCTTCTCAAACTTCCCTTTTATCTCCACCCCAAAGCTCTCTGATCCCACTCCCCAAAGCTCTCTGAGCCCCCTCCTCACGTTTCATCTCTGCAGACTTCACTGTCCCCCTCTCCAAACCTCCCCTCTCCTCCTCCTCACACCTCTCTGATCCCCCTTCCCAAACCTCTCTGATCCCCCTCCCCAAATTCCTCTGATCCCCCTCCTCACACCCCTCAGATCCCCCTTCCCAAACCCCTCTGATCCCCCTCCCCAAACCTCACTGATTCCTCTCTCCAAACCCCTCAGATCCCCCTCCTCACACCTCTCTGATCCCCTTCCCCAAACCTCTCCAATCCCCCTCCCCAAACCCCTCAGATTCCCCCTCCCCAAACCTCCCCGAACTCCCCCCGAAGCCCGGCGGTGCCCCGTGCGCAGGTTTCGCCTCACCTCCCCGCAGATCGGTCCCTTTTTCCCCTCAGCCCGGGCGGTTTTTTCCCCTTTCCCCGCCGGGGCCGCGCTCCCCTCACGCCGCCGCGGCCTCGCGCTCTCTGCGCCTGCGCGGGCGCTCGCGCCGCGTCACCGGCCGCGCCGGGGGCGGGGCGAAGGGGGCGGGCGTTCGCGCGCGGGTTTTGGCGGGAAGGGCGTGAGGGGGCCGCCATGTTGGGGGGGGGCGAAGGAGCCCTCACGGGGAGAATTTCCCTCTGGTTTTTTTTTTTTTTCCACTTGTCTTTATAGCTAAATTGTTTAACTACACATTACCATGCCTGTCAGAGCAATATGTTGCCAAAACAGGTAAAATTTTAAGGTCTATTTGCGTGCTGTGCAAGTGTAGTTTCGTATTTCTGCGTAGGTGTAACTTCGTATTTCTGTACAAGCACAATTTCATATTTCTGTACAAATGTCACCGAAACCGTGGGGATAAATAAGACTCCTAACACTCTTTTTAAAAATGTCACAGTGTTTATTCTTGGCCAAGGTTTTTGTGTGTGGCTGACAAAGTTCAGGCCTCCACGTGAGCCCCGATACAAAACTTTTTCACTTGTGTATGTATTTTAACAAACAAATTAACGCTCATTCACTCTAAATTGCATAATCCTCTTCATTAATTAGTATTGTAATAAATGTTCCCTATTCATTTCCTCACTTTTTATACTGATCTGGTCCAAACTATTTAGTAATTTTGTTATCTTTTTCTCAGACATGGAGTCTCCACCCTTTCAGGCTTTAATTTCCTCTAATTTTCTGGTTTCTCCAATATCCTTGAAGTGCCATAAATTCAAGATCCCACATGCTCAGCCTTCAAATTCTTTGGGTCTGTTCACTGAAGTTTGTTAGGGTTCATTTTAACAAACTTAATTGATGATTTAATGATCAAAGTAATAATAAAGGTCTGTGGAGAAGCTTTAGTAGTGCTGGTTAAAAGTGGGCACTGCTCATAAATCATTAAAATGACTAATTAAATATTAATTAGGAAAGTGATATCATTTCCAATACATGCATGACTTCAAATTTTTGTCCAGGTGTAACTTGATATTTCTGCTCTGAGATGCTGTAAATGGAAAAGGTTTTGTGGCTGAGGATAACCCTCCAAATCTGAAGGTCTTGATTTCCTAATTTAAGGAAAACTCATTTAGAAATACATAGCTCCATTGCAGCCAGGGTTATTACACTGACAGAAAGCCTAAAGATTTTCCAGAAACATCAAAAATATGAGTTCTGCTTCTGAAATGAATTCTCAGTGTACAAGTGGTGAAGCACATACTGAAATCCCCACTCATTCCTTATCCAGGGCATTTCCAAGGGGCATTAGGGACATGGAGGCAATCCATCATTTACACAAATAATCATTCCCGTAATCCAAAATAATCCAAAATAAATTGGCGTTATGGCCAATTAACTCTGATTACCCAGGAGATGAGCTGCCAGTGCTGCCCTTTGCCATGCCAGTGAAATGTTTCTGTCCAAATGTGAAAAGTTTCTGGGATTTTTTTCCTAAAAATCACAGTAGAGTCTACAACACTGGATCTTGGTTTGCATCATTTGGGGCAGCAACAACGAAGGGTCTGGATTTTACAAAAATGGACCGACCCCACTGAAATTTAATGATTTTTGAGGCTTTTCTGGTTGTTGTTTTTGGGGGCACGTATCCATTCTGGCCTCTCTCAGTGAAAACTGGCACCAATAGAGGGATTTTAGGTGAGGAGAGGGTTTGGGTGGCGGAACAGAGGCTGTGGAGTCACCCAGTGACTGCAGAATTACTGATCTGATTTAAGATCAAATGTGCTAATTACTGATTTGATTGAGATCAAATGTGCTAACTATTTCTTTAGAAACTTGACTTTTTGAACGTTTATCTTATACTGTTCAACACAGTGCTGAGTAGTGGACTAGCATCTCTTTGAGGGATTTCTGGCAATGTAAGACTTAAAATGTTTTAAAAACGCCTTCCTTGAAGATGCTCTTTTCTCTTACTTTTCATTTGCCAATATGTTAATTGTTCACAAGGGTTTTTAGTGAACACTGATAGTTATTATGTAATAAACCAAATGAAATGTAATGAGTAGTAACTACGAGGTGTGAGGCAAAATCGGAGTTGCAGCATTTGAAAGGTGCTTGTCGTGTTACAGAATTTTAAATTTCCCATTCATGTATTAATCGTTGTTGCATTACTCTTTTGAGATGAATAACATGCTACAGGAAACAAATTGTGCAAACAAATTTGGAGTGTATCTGCAAGTAAAACAGAAGTAATAATGCTAATTATTGCCATGCTGGTGTCACCGGGGTGCTCCTGAGTCATGGGTGACTCCACAGCCTCTGCAGGGCACTGAGAGGAGAGGGGACAGCCCTGCCTGCCCTCACCCACACACCTCCAGCACCCCGGGAGTGCGCCCAGGCTGAGCCCCGCTGTCCTGGGCTGGCCTCAGGGACCTGTGCTTGGTGACACCGTGCCTGTGGAGCTGCCCTGGAGCTGTCTGAGGACCTGCCCAGTGCCACCAGCCCTGCTCCTGCTGCCTGTGGTGAGCTCCCTTCTGCAGATGCCTCGCTGTCACCCCTGCCTCCCTGTGTCACCCCTGCCTCCCCGTGTCCCCCCTGCCCCCCTGTGTCACCTCTGCCTCACTGTCCCCCCTGCCTCCCCGTGTCACCCCTGCCTCCCTGTGTCACCCCTGCCTCCCCGTGTCCCCCCTGCCCCCCTGTGTCACCTCTGCCTCACTGTCACCCCTGCCTCCCCGTGTCACCCCTGCCTCCCTGTGTCACCCCTGCCTCCCCGTGTTACCCCTGCCTCCCCGTGTCACCCCTGCCCCCCTTTGTCACCCCTGCCTCCCCGTGTCACCCCTGCCCCCCTGTCTCCAGGGAACATTCCCAGCTCTCCCAGCCTCTCCAGAGCAGAGGGGCTCCAGCCCTGGGGGATCCCCCTCTGGATCCTCCCCAATTCCAGGGGTGCCCGTGGCTCAGGGCTGATCTCCAGACCCTTCAGGACCTGGTGGTCATTGCTGGGGGCCCTGCAGCCCCCCAGGGGATGAGGAGTGAGTCCAAGGTTTGGATTTAGAGGCAGCTCCTGAATTGCTGTGGGTGGGGGCCCCAGAGGATGCTGATCAGGGCACTCAGAGCTTGTTGGGATACTTTGGATCCTGACATCAGCTTTGGCAGGGTTTCCTGGCAGCCCTTAAATCCACGTGGGATGGAGCATGAGTAATAAAACAAGCTCTAATTTTGCCCTGGATTAAATCCCTTCTTCCTGTTTTCAAAGAGTGAGCTGTGGCAGGTCGTGTGGACAGGCAGCTGATTGCTTATGAAATACTGCAGTCTGCAAGCTGCAGGTGGGGTTTGCCTCCACCAGAGTTCCAGAAGCAGGAAATTCCTGTGCTGGTTCGTTTGGGATACATTTTTATGATTTGGTTGAAGTTGAGGGAGTGGAGATCTTTTTCCCCAGGGTTTGGTTAAACCTCAGAGAGCAGAGCAGCTCTCCTGTGCCCCCAAGACACAGCAGTTCCACGGTGGTGATTCAATCCTGCAGGCCAGAACAGGACCCATCCCTGCCTGGGGCTCCCTTTGTTCCCAAAACCAGGAGACAAAGCACTTCTTGGGACTGTGAGCACAACAGACACCTGTGGAGGAGTGGGGTGGGAGTGGAGTGAGAGGAGGCTCCTCAGGGAGGTGCTGACAAACGCTGGGTGATAATTGAGATTTTTATTAAAAGTTTCCTCTGGGAGTTCCTTTCCTCTTCTGCTGAGGTGGATGGAGCAGCTGAACATCTGCCCTCGGTGCTCTCCAGGAACTCCAGGGGTGCCAGCAGGGGCAGCTGCTGGCTGTTCTCAGAACCCTTTGATTTGGATAAACAGAAAATTTATCCACGCAGCCACAGCTGGGTGTTCCCACGGGAGATTATTCCCAAAGCTTGGCAGGAGGCTGCCTCCCACCAGGGTTAGGGTTAGTGTTAGGGTAACAACTCCTCAAATCTCCTTTGGAAGCAGGAATGGACAGCTCAAAATCCCAACCAAAGAGCTCCTGACCCCCAGGAGAGCTGGGTGAGTTCAGTGTGTCCCTGTTTTCCTGAAGAACACCAAAGAACACTCACATTTTTGTGGTCAGAGCTTTGGGACCGACTCCTCCCATCCTGGTTTGGATGTGTCAGTGGAAAATATTTTTTTGGAGGTGAAATGAGCTTGCTGGTTGCCTTGAAGGCTCTGATAAATGTGAGAACTTGATCACATGGAGTGATAGGTTCTTTGAGACGTGTTTGATCTGAAAAATAAAGCTCTGTATAAATTCCCCTTTGCCAGCCCAGCTGAACTCGCAGCAAACATGAAGCTGATTTTGATCTTCAGTGCCCTCCTCGGGGCTTCCCTGTGCCTGGAAACCTTCGTTGGGTGAGTTACACTTGTGCAAAACCTTTCACTTAGGGCTGGTATCCTCTTGTTGTTTTTCATGGTCTCACCCTCACAAAATCTGCTCAGGGCACATTTTTTTGGTTTTTGTGATTGATTGTTCTTTTTGCTTTGCTGTTGTGGTGTTTGAGGGAACGTTTCTTTACTTTTGTTTGTGTTTTCTCAGCAGAAAGGTCCAGCTGTGGGGATGAGATTCTCAATTCCTGCTCATCCAAGCCTTGATTTTGGCTTGAGTTGAGGCTCACTGTAAAGGCAGAGCTGAAATACCAGAACTTGTCCTCAGAGCAGAAAGTTCACCACTTTCCCTTTTCCCCCCAAGTTTCTTATTTCTCTTTCTTCCTCTTCTTTCCTCCTTTCTAAGCATTTAAAATCCTGATTTCCAGCCATTAAATTCTGAAGGTTTGTCTTGACGTTGCATTGCAAAAATTATCCCACAAGGTATTTCCTCACAGCCTCATTGACCATGGAAAGGCCTTAATGATTAAAGATTATGAAATCCTACTGGATAAATCCTGAGGTGCAGGAAGTGAGCACTAGATTCCAGTGAGTAAATCCGTGCATGAAGGTTGAAGGATTAAGAATAAAAAAGAATATAAATAATGTCCCAAAACTCTAAAGCCAGGAGGGGCTATTTTGATCATTTAATCCTGAACTGGGTTTTGGTGGTTCAAAACCTCAGCAGCTGTGGGTAATTCACAGCAGAATCCAATAAAGCTTCTGGACAATCCAGTAGTAAGTTATGAATGTGGGAAAGTGCCTTCAGAGCTGGTTTAACTCTGTTCAACACGGAGATCTGATCCCTCTGCTGGCCAGGGAGAGAGAGGATCCCGGTGTAAACGTGATGTGAACGAGTGACACTGTAAATAAAACACGGGATCCTTCCCCAGCTCAGCTGGAATATTATTGTCCCACAAACTGCTGTCCAAAGTACCCCATGGGTGCGGGATTGATCCTTGTGATTGAAAACTCATCCACGCTGTCTGGTTTGTGAGGAAGGTTGGTTGAACTCTTGGGCGACACCAAATCAAAGGAGCCATTAACCCACAATTAACACCGAATTAACGATCCCAGGAACAAACCAGTTCAGCCAGCCTCTTCTGAGACGGCTCCTGAAAAAACCGATTTATTACAGGCACCAGGTTCTCCGGATCAGGACCAAAAATGAGGAGGAGGTCAGGCAGCTGCAGCTCCTGGAGTCGCTGGAGCACCTGCAGGTGGGTCATGGCCACAGAGGCACTTGGGATCTGATCCCACTCACAGCAGGTCGGGGTGTGAATCTGCATCTCATCTGGAAGGTTCCCATCACCCTGGGGCAGCTGCCATAAAGAATTTTATTTTCTCAACACGTTAAATTTGACCTGCAAGTTCGAGTATCAGCTCAGTGTTCAGGAGGGCCAGAATTTATTTATTTTTTTTTCCTACTGGGTTTACATCACATTTGAATTGTTAGATCTTCATCTCGGTGTTGAAAAACTTGTTTTTCCAGTGGGAATGGCAATGTTTTGTCTCCCAGAGTTATGGAAGGAATTTATTAGTTAGTCTACACTGTATTGAAACAAGAAAACACAATGTAAAGTTCCAGGTTATTACTGTTCTTATTGCCATTGATGGGAATTTTTAACATCACTTTTTAAAATCCCTGGCTTAAAAAAATTATATTAATAATTTAGAAATTACAATTTAGAAAAGTTCTACCAAAGGAGAGATAAGAGAAATGAAAACAGTGGGTTTCATATTACCTAAGACTGGAACATGGAGTTTTTCTTGAAATTATTTCTAGTAGAAGAGAGAATAATAAAATATCAGGGACAATTAAAATTTCCTCTTGTTTGTGTGACCAAAGCCTAGAAGTCTGTGAAAAAACTGACTCAAGCCCTTGGTATTTGTTATTTAATGGAGTTTATCAGAAGAACTGATACCAGGTTGTGGTGAGGCCACAGAGAACAGAGCATTCCAGGGCTCCTCTCTGCAGGGGAGATTTCTGATTTCCTCTGATTTCTGGGGACAAATCAGCATTTCTAAATTCTCCTTTCTCTCTCAGCTGGATTTCTGGGTCAACCCCTCTGCCCCTGCCCTCCCTGTGGACGTGAGAATTCCTGCTGTCAGTGTCCAGTCAGTGAAAGCCTTCCTGGAATCCCAGGGCATTGGATATTCCATCCTGATTGAAGACCTGCAGGTGGGCAGTGCCACTGGCACCTATTTCTGACACCTTTTGGGAACACAGATTCACAATTTGGCCTCGTCCCACTTTCCCATACTCTGTTTTCCGTGGGATCCTCCCCTCATTTTTGTGGGCTGTGGATTATTCCTCAGAGAGAATCCATGCAGCAATGTAGGTGTTCTGAGTAGTGACATCAATAAACCCCACAGGGCTCTTCTGACAGCCCCTGAGGAATTACACGAGGGCTTTTGATCCCAGATTTGGGAATCCCACCACAGTAAACTCTGCTGAGAGCAGCTATGGGTACAAATCACCCACCTGGGCACTAATCTGACATTTCCTCATGAGCAGTAATCCCCAAAGGGCACCTAAACCAGCATTAACTCACTGCCTTTTCATTTGTTTATATTTTAGCAAGTGAAGCAGACACTTCTCACCCTTTGAATGTTATTTTAGGATGTTCTGGATAAAGAAAAGCAAGACATGGCCGAGAGTGCCCAGAGGCAGCGCAGCAGCAACACCTTTGACTTCGGTACTTACCACACTCTGGATGAGGTGAGCACCTCAGGGGAGGAGTATTCTGATTTTCCCTGGTCTTTTTGCATGCTGTCTTCAATTCAACATCCTGTGTTAGCATCTGAAATGTCCTTGCAGCTTTTTGTGGCACGTGGGTTTGTTTTTTGCAGTGTTAGTTTTGTGCTCAGAACAATCAGCCAGCGCTGTCCCCGACAGTGTTGACCAAAATTCCACAAACTCTCCTGCAGACTCTGTCAAAACCCATCCTTCAAAAGAAGGAGAAATAAAGGGATCTTGAGACTGGGAAATAAAGAACTAAACAGAAATAAAGCTGTTGCTTCCCTGTCCTTGGGAGTGTCCGAGGCCAGGTTGGAGCAACCTGGGATAGTGGAGGGTGTCCCTGTGGCAGGGGGGTGGAATGGGATGGGCTTTCCAACCTGAAGCAGCCCATGATTAACATAAATATGATGTTAATGTCCTCAAATCTGATGTTCATGTCCTCATGGCCTTGCATTTCAGATTAATGCAGAGCTGGACCACCTTGCATCTGAGTACAGCTTTGTGGAGAAGATCCAGATCGGGCAATCCTACGAGAAGCGGCCTCTGTACGTCCTGAAGGTACAACAAACACCATGGAATGCACCCACAGGGGTGAAAGACAGACAGCACGGCCCAGAGCACCCCAGCTGTTATGGGATGCCCTCGAGTGAGGGGTGTCAGGGGCTGAAATGCTGTGTTTGATTCCCCAGTTCAGCACCGGAGGCTCGCGCCGCCCGGCCATCTGGCTCGACGCCGGCATCCATTCCCGCGAGTGGGTCACCCAGGCCAGCGCCCTGTGGATCGCCAACAAGGTTCTGCAGCAGGGATTCACCTCTGGGCAATGCTTCCTGCTGTTTCAGAGCGTATCACCCCTCTGTGGTTTTAGTAAATTCACCTCCCAAAAGCAGCTGGCTCCCTGAGGAAGTGGTGGCTCCCCTGGAATTGGGAAACTCTGTCCTGTTAGAAGAGCTGAGTTTAGGCAGACAGAGTGCAGTGGTTCAGGGAGGATTGTTACACAAATAACCAAAGGCTGAGATTGTATTGCTGCTTTGCTCTGCTCACCCAGAAAAATGCAGTGGGGTTGGCTTCCTTCCACAAAATGCCCAGACCTCCAGCTCTCTATAAATGAGGATTTAAATCCTGCTGGAAATGACTGAGCCACCAGAGAAGTCACAGGACCACAGAATAAGCTGAGCTGGAAGGGACCCACCAGGATCATGGAGTCCAGCTGCTGGCCCTGCACAGAGCCATCCCCAAGAGCCACCCTGTGCCCAAGTGTTGTCCAAAAGCTCCTTGGGCTCTGTCAGTGCAGCACATTGAGAATTCCCAACCTGGCTCTTCCATCTCAGTCTTAGTGCCAGCCTTGGCCTGTCCTCTGGGACAGAGAGGAGAAAATTTTGTTATCCTCTTCCATTTTATTCTAAAGACCTCGTGTCTTCAGAATAAAATAACAAAACAGATTCCCTGCTCATCCACATAACAAGGAACAGTTATGGCCCACAGATAAGGGATGTTCCTTGTTGCCCTGCCCCAAAATCCAGCCTTTCCTGAGGGAAATGAGCATTTGGGAAGGAATTGCTCTGCTAAGCAGGCTGTGCTCTGTCTCTACCTAGATTGCCTCTGACTATGGAACAGATGAGTCCATCACCTCCCTGCTGGACAAGATGGATCTTTTCCTGCTGCCAGTCGCCAACCCTGATGGATTTGTGTACACTCACACCTCGGTGGGTCAGCTCTCTGTCTGAGCTCAGGGGGATTCCTGGCTCTTCCAGGGAAATAACAAACATGAGGGAAGTGGGCTCTGAAAGTCTTAATGCTGTGAGAGGAGGTACCAGAGCTAGGCAAAGATCCTCATCATTTCTTAGACATCATTTGTCTAACCCATCCTAAGCCCTGTAAATACCCAGTTTTTGTAAATACATTTGATTTTTGACCATTGGCCCGTTTTGGCAGTCAGATATACTCCTGGGATCATGCCCAGGATCAATCCCCCATGGGTGGCAGCCCTTCCTGGGCAGCAGTTTTGGTGCCACACCCAGGTTTTCTCCCTTTTGAGCATTTCTCTGTTGCAGAACCGCATGTGGAGGAAAACCCGCTCCAAGATCCCCGGCAGCGTCTGCGTCGGAGTTGATCCCAACAGGAACTGGGATGCAGGTTTTGGAGGTAGGGATGAAGCTTCTGGATCCTGTTACACACAACCAGCAGCTGCCTTTATAAAGGGGATTAATCACCCTTAAAGCACAGGATGAGGCAGCATCATGAAATTATGAAATCATGGAATCACAGAATGGTTTGGGTTGGAAGGATCCAAAATAATATTTAGTTCCACTCCCTGCCATTGGCAAAGCCACCTTCCATTATCCCAGGTTGTTCCCAGCCCCATCCAACCACAGAATACCCCCAGGAATGTGGATTCCTGGGTTTCTGGGCAGCCTGCTCCAGGTTGCATAATCTCAAAGTACATCCCTTGAACATTCACACTCTGTCACTGCTGTTGGAACATTTCTCAGCATTTAAGGCCTTGCTTTGGCTCAGGAAAGCCCAGCTTTGTGTGGCTCTGCCCTGCCCTCCTCATGGGTCTGTTCCCTCCTTGCACCACCAGGTCCTGGGGCCAGCAGCAGACCCTGCTCCGACTCCTACCACGGGCCCAGCGCCAACTCCGAGGTGGAGGTGAAATCTGTCGTCGACTTCATCAAGAATCATGGAAACTTCAAGGCCTTCCTGACCCTCCACAGCTATTCCCAGCTCCTGATGTATCCCTATGGATACAAATGCACCAGGCCAGATGATTATGCCGAGCTGGTGAGACAGCAGGACTTGGTTTTACCTTCCTCTCTTCTGTCCAGCTGCCTTTCTGTACTTTCCATACTCTTCCCTAATGACAGCACCACAGCTGGAATAATATCTCTGAGGCAATGTGGATCTCACAGCCATAATTCCAATGGGAAAGACCTCTGGAGGTCTCTGTTCTAACCCTGTGCTGAAAGGGCTTTGGAGTCAGAGCCAATTGCAGTCTGAATTTGGATTGATTTGTTTTGATATTTCTAAAGAAGAATTCCACAGCTTTTTCAAGCTCATCCCAAAGTTTCCCTCATCTAATGGGGATTTTTTTGTCCTCATACCTAAATGCAGTTCCCCTGTGGCAATCTGTTGCCTTTTTCCCCCCTTCACAAAGAACCCAGCTCTGTTTTACATCCAACCCCCCTTACGTACTTGAAGTGAGCACAAAGGTGACCTTGGAGTATTGGAAGATCCCAACTACCTTGGGAATTTCTGGTTTCTCTTGAGCCTTCCCTGGACAAGCCAGTGAGATAAACACTGGATGAACACTTAGAGAACCTGCTGGAAGTTCACTCACCTGCAGTGGCACCTCCCAGAAATGCTGTGGAAGCTGTGGCTGCTGTTGGTGTGAATCATCCCCAAAGCAGTTTGGAGATTTCTGGTGAAATCCCAAAGTTTAACCCCAGGAAGTGTGGCTGCTTCCTGACTTTCCCTTCATCCTCTCCCCTGCAGGAATCTCTGGGAAGAGCTGCTGCCAATTCCATCCGCTCCCTCTATGGCACCACCTTCCAAGTGGGCACCATTTGCAACACCATCTGTGAGTATTTGGCCACTCAGAGCTTTGAGGGGCTGTCCCAGGACACCAATCCCTGTCCTCCCCACGGGGTCTGTCCCTGCTGGGGACAGACTGTCCCTGCTCCTGTGCAGTGACACCACTGGTCACACACCAGACCCGAGCGTTCCCATCCAAACCTCACCCTTGTCCCCCAAAACACAAACAGCAGAACAACAGAACTCCACCATTCCTCTTCTCCCCACTCTGGACCATCTCCCTTTCCCTTCCAGACCAAGCCAGTGGAGGCAGCATTGACTGGAGCTACGACAACGGCATCAAATATTCCTTTGCCTTCGAGCTGCGGGACACGGGGCGCTACGGCTTCCTGCTGCCCGCCAACCAGATCCTCCCTGCTGCCAAGGAGACCTGGCTGGGCCTCAAGAAAATCATGGAGCACGTGCGGGACAAGTCCTCCTGAGAGCTGGGCTGAGCTCTCTGCAGCACAGCTCCTAAATCCTCCGTGGGCTGTGACGGCTGTCGTGATGGAAAGGGCTGAATAAACCCCTGTGCATTCCCCACGTGGTGTTTGGCACGTGCTCCTTGTGTGTGACGCATCCCTGAGTGCTGGAAGCTCTCCCTGGATCCTTCTCCAGGGTGAAGGGGCTGGTGCAGAGGGCCTGGTGTTAACCAGCATAATCCAGGCTATGGAACTAATTAAAGGAATTTAATTTCCTTTAACGAGCCTCAGGACCCTGCCAGGCCCCTGATCACTGTCCTCAAATGTACACCCCCATATATTTGGCTGCTCCTTTTCTCCCTCCCACATGTTCCCAGTGGCCATGGTTGGAGGGAAGATGGAGATGGGAGGACTCCTCCCCTGATCCAGCACCCAGTGCCTCAGGAGCCCCTCATTCCATTTTCATCCTGCAAATTTCTTGGGGATTAAGAGCAAAGAGCTCAGGAGGCCCTGAAGGATCAGAGATTAGCTGTGGCTGCTGCTGCTGCTGTGGTGATTATCGAGTCTAACAGGTTTATCTTGGTGTCTTGTGACCCCCCAGCAGCTGGTGAGTTACTCACCCTGGGGAGGCTGGCAGGAGAGCAAACAGCGCTGACGGTTCCGATAAAACCCCGCGGGCTCTGGGCACGGAGCTGCTGGCAGGAAAAGGGGAAGGCACAGCTGAGGGAAGTAGCCCAGGGGGCTGGGTTTGGGTTAAAAGCAGCTTTGGGTTAAAAGTTTTGGAAAGCAAACCCACGCTTGGGGCAGGCAGTGCTGCCCATGTGTCCCTGTCCCCTCTGCTCACAGCCTTATCCCGTGGTACCTGCTTCCCAGACTGCCCCAGCTTTCCAAAATCCCATCCTCTGCCTGCTGATTGCAAACCTCTGATGGTGAATCCCTGGGACAGGGCACAGAGCTGGTCTTGGACCTGGATGAGTCTTGTCTCCAGAGCAGGAACTGCAGAGCCTGAGGAGCCTCGGCTGGGAGTGTGGAACTGTGACCTTGTCCTGGCTTGGGAGCTCATTCCAACCATCCACCCCCTGTCCCCTCCTCCCCAAGTGCCTGGTGTGAGGAGAGCTCATCCAGTGTGGAACCCTGACTCCAGGGAGATCTGGAGCCAGAGCAGTGGATGCCACCCAGAGGAACAGGAGGGTGTGTGCCGTGGTGGGCAAGGAGGGAGATGAGCTGGAGATGACACAGGTCTGGGGTGGGGGGAACCTAACAGGGACCTTCCCATCCCAGGGAAGGAGATTGTGGAGGAAACAGCCAAGCTCTTCACCTCAGAGAGTGATGGGAGAGACAACAGCATCAGCTGGAACCAGGGACAGCCAGGAGGGACATCAGCTCCAGGGAGATCTGGAGCCAGAGCAGTGGATGCCACCCAGAGGAACAGGAGGGTGTGTGCCGTGGTGGGCAAGGAGGGAGATGAGCTGGAGATGACACAGGTCTGGGGTGGGGGGACCTAACAGGGACCTTCCCATCCCAGGGAAGGAGATTGTGGAGGAAACAGCCAAGCTCTTCACCTCAGAGTGATGGGAGAGACAACAGCGTCAGCTGGAACGAGGGAGAGCCAGGAGGGACATCAAGAAATGCTTTTCACCAGGAGGAGAAGCAGCAGAACCTGGTGCCCATGGGGCTGAGCAGCTTCCATCTCTGGAGGACTCCAAGACCCAGCCCTGGTGGGTCCCCAGAGCTGCCCATGCTCCACCAGGCACTGGATACCTCCCGTGGTCCCTTCCCATCAACCACCCCACAATCCTGCCCCGAGGAGGATCCTGGAACCACCTCAGCAACAGCTCCAGTTCTGCACTGCAAAGCCCCAAGAGACCCCAGCACCTTCCCTCAGCACCTCCTGCTCCTGGTGCAGCCAGAATCCCCTGGATTTAGTGGAGAAAGACACGGTCAGGGGATGTCAGCTGTAAAAACCTGTCCTGGGAGGTGCTGCCAGCCTGGGAACACAGCCCAGGAGCCCAGAGCATCCCTGACAAGCACGGTGGGAGCTCAGGGGCAGCACAGATAAGGCCCAACAAAGGCCCTGCTGTAACCTGCAGAACAAAGACACTGCTTTGACTGGGGAACAAAGACACCTCTGACAAACTGACCTCCTGGGATAGCCCCAGCCTGTGACAGCTGCTCCACAGCCACTGAAAACATTAAAATAATTCATTTTCTACCCAAAAATGAGCCCTTTTGTCTGAGCGTTACCCCAGGTGAACGTCCTTGTGCACCTCCGAGCTCCACGACTTCCATCAGCTTTGAAGGGAGATTTCATCCACCAGCAAGTGACCCCACTCCTGGGAATGGTTTGATGAATAATTTGAATAGTATATTTTACATTTTAGATAGATAGATAGATAGATAGATAGATAGATATACATGTATGCATAAATGAATTAATCATAAATAAGACTACATTTAAATGTTTGCTTTTTCTGCGAGTAACTTTGTAGTAGCTTGTCATTACACATGCATTACTAATCATAATTATGATTGACTTACTCATAGCAATGTGTAATGAAGAAATCCATGGAAACAAAGAGGTGTTTCCTTGTGGTTTTGGGGCTCCTGTGAGCACGCCATCCCCACCGTCCCACGCCCGTGGGTTGGGAGCCGCCCATGCCCACGGCAGCTGGGAGCAGGGACACTCATCCAGGACCCACTCACCGAGGAAGACGTTATCAGATCCTCCCTAATTTGGCTGCTCTCGTGTTGACTTTGCCAAATAAAGCAAACATTTGGGCTGGCGGGAGCCCTTCCTGCCTGCTCTGTTTGTCGCTACCGACGCCGCGGGGACGGCGGATGCGGCCCCGCTGAGGAGCTCCGGGAGGGACCCCCAGCAGCGAGGGGGTGCTGCCCACCCTCGGGGCCCTGCTCTGCTCCCACCCACCATGGAGACCCTGCTGCTCTTCCTCGCCCTCCTGGGGGCCAGCGGCACCGAGCAGCTCTTTGTGGGGTGAGTCCTGCTGGGGCGGGGGGCGGTGGGACACCACGGCTGGGATGGGGACGGCCCGTCCCCACCAGTGTCACCCAGACAGGGGTGGCATCCCCAAGGATGGAAATCCAGCAGGGTTTTCTGCCAGCCAGGAAGGATTTGGTTCCACCCCAGGTTTGGAGGGAGGTTTGGAGCAGGTAGGAATTAGGGAATGCTGTCGCTCCAAGCTTTGCCAGGCTGTGGAATCCCAGAGGATATGGGGAGCACGTGTGTGGATCAAAGATGATGGCTGTGGAGCCACCCAAGGATTGCTGGGAATAAAAACCAGGGATTGCTGGGAATAACAGCCAAGGATTGCTGGGAATAAAACCCAAGGATTGCCGGGATAAAACCCAAGGATTGCTGGGAATAAAAACCAGGGATTGCTGGGAATAACAGCCAAGGATTGCTGGGAATAAAAACAGGGATTGCTGGGAATAACCAAGGATTTTTGGGAATAACAGCCAAGGATTGATGGGAATAAAAACCAGGGATTGCTGGGAGTAATCGAGGATTGCTGGGAGTAATCAAGGATTGCTGGGAGTAACCAAGGATTTTTGGGAATAACAGCCAAGGATTGATGGGAATAAAAACCAGGGATTGCTGGGAGGAATCAAGGATTGCTGGGAATAACAGCCAAGGATTGCTGGGAGTAAACCAAGGATTTTTGGGACTAACACACCGTGGGAAAGAACAAGATGTGGCTGGAGGGAGGGCAGCACTTTTCCAGGATGAACATCCTGGTTGCAGCTCCTGCAGATAAGAACAGCACAGTCCAGTGCAGGAATGAGGCTGAGAAGGGGGCACGGAATACAGGAGGGGGTCAGGACAACCCAAAACTCCCAAAGCTTCCAGAAAGGTCTGAAGGAATGGACTGGCAATGAGAACTGACTTGTAGAGAAAGTGGGAATTCCGTGTTTGGAGTAGGGAAAACTTATCCATAAAAAGATCTCCAGGGTGCTGGACATGCCACCAGCTGGACCAACGCTGGAGCCAGAGCTGGTGCTCTCATGACCCAGGGAACAGATGGAGCTGTGCCAGGGGGGCCAGGCTGGATATCAGGAAAGGTTCCTGATCCAGAGGATGCTGGCACTGCCCAGGGAATGGTCACATTCCCAAGGCTCCCCGAGCTCCAGGAGTGTTTGGACGAAGCTCTCAAGGACAGGGTGGGATTGTTGGGGTGTCTGGGAGTTGGATTTGATCCTTGTGGGCCCCTTCCAGCTCAGGCTATTCTGTGATGTGACTGACCCACCTTCCTTCCTGCTTTCCTTCCTCCCTGGACACGATGCCATGGTTGAGGGATCCATCAGGATCCCATCACTCTCCTCCAGCCAGGGGGTGGCTGGGAGGGATCCGAGCACCTGGGAATGTCCAGGGAATGTCAGGGCTGCTCCCTGAGTCTGGAAAAACCACGAGGATTTCATGCCTGCCCGAGTCCCCCAGGCACAGAATGGAAATTGTTATCACCCTGGGGAGTTGGTCAAACTGATAAATGAGGACGAAAGGGGAAAGGTGAAGGAATTTTGTGCCATTTTGGGAGCAGCTTTAAGCACTGCCCAGCAGGAGCGGTTGGAGGTAGAGGATTGATCTGAGATGAGGAAACCTCTCTCCCATAGAACATTTCCTCCTCTCCAGGGGCTGTGCCTGTCCTCGGGAAGCCCAAGTGGGACCTCTGCTAGGGAGCACATCCTCAGATACAGAACAAATCCATGGGAGATATTCCCCACCATCTCGGGAGCTGATCAAACAAGGCTGGAGATCACCTCAGGTCCCAGCCCTTGCTCCTTTCCCATCGTGGCTGCTCTGAACCTGCATTTTTTTTTCTCTCAACACCAACAACTGATGCATTTTCCAACCCTCTGGGCCGGTGTGGATGTTCCCCAGGCCAGAGTGCCCCCTCTGTGACCCCTCTGCCTCCCTGCAGGGACCAGGTCCTGCGTGTCACCGCCAGGAACGAGGAGCACATGGCCCTGCTCGGGGTGCTGGGCGAGCAGGAGGAGCTGCAGGTGAGCCCCGAGGGGTCCTGAGCACCCCCTGGTCACAGACCCTGCTGAATCCAGGGCTCCCTCCTTCTTCTGCCTTCCCATCCTTTTTCCTCCCCATTTTGGAGTTGTGTCATATAGAACCATAAAAAAATGAATTTAACCTGGGGCTCCTTGAGCTCAGAGCTCCTGTTTTGTATGAACTGGAACATCCCACAAATACTTCAACAACCTGGGCTGAAACCTTTCTGTAAATCCCTATCCAGACATCCATCTGTGGCCCAAAATTTCCTCAAAAACCTTTTTAGATCCTTCATGGAACCTGCTGAGACCCCTGGAGGTGCTGGGGAGCTCAGTGGAGGAGCACCAGCACAGGATGGGGCCGAGTTCTCCCTTTCAGCTCAACTCCTCCTTCCCAGGTGGATTTTTGGCGTCACCCCAACAGCCTTGGCCACCCCGTGGACCTGCGGGTGCCCTTCCCCAGCCTCCAAGGAGTCAAAAATTTCCTGAATTCCCATAATATTTCCTACAGCATCATGATTGAGGATGTGCAGGTAATGGCTGTGACGGGAACAGGATGAACTCCTGCAGCTCAGCCCTGAGAGAAAGTCCAAAAAGTTGGAAATGAAGAAGAAAAGTCCAACCCCCTGCTCCTTCCGGCCTTTTTGATCTTGGGGTTTTTTTTGCCTCCTAACCAGGAATTATTGGATGAAGAAAAGGAAAGCATGAGGCGGTCTAGGAGGGTAAAGAGAAGCTCCAGGATGTTGGATTTCGCCTCCTACCACACGATAGATGAGGTACCTTTCTCTGCAGAGCGTTGGCTTTGTCCTGCTGGGCTCACAGCCATGAGGTGAAGGTCGTGGTGAGTCCTTGGTGACAGGTGAGACCTCCCTGGGACACGCTTCTCCTCCTTGGTGGAGCTTTTAGCTGAGATGGGGACTGGGAAACCTTCCACATCCAGCATGGCCACTCCTGGAATCTTCCATCCTGTGAAAGACATTTTCAGCTTCACTCTGGGGGTGCTTGGAGCCCAGTTTGGGACTGCTCAGGGCTGTGGTGGTGTTGGGAGGTCTCAGAGCTTTTCCCCCCACCATTCATTTTAGTTTTCCAAAAACGTTGTGATGTGCCTTTCCCTGCTCACACAGAGCCCCAACCACCTCGTGTGGGAAGTGCTTCCCCAGGGAAGCACCAGATCTTCCCCGGGGAAGCACCAGATCTTCCCCAGGGAAGCTCTGCCTGTTGCTGGACACCCTCAAAAGCAAAAGGTGAGAAGCAGGCTGAGCCTCGTGACCCAGCAGCTCCTCCTTCCAGATCTACGGGTGGATGGATGTCCTGGTGGAGGATCATCCCAGCCTCGTCAGCAAGATCCAGATCGGGCAGAGCTACGAGCACCGGCCCCTCTACGTGCTCAAGGTGGGTCCCGGGGCAGCCTCGCCCTCAAAATGCCCCTCAGGAGGAGAAGCTGTGCCAGGGCAGCTCAGGGTGGGCACCAGCAGGAATTTCCCCATGGAAAGGGTGCCCAGGCTTTGGCAGGGGGTTTGGAGTGCCCATCCCTGGAGGTGTCTGAGGAACTCCTGGGGGTGGCACTCAGAGCTCTGGGCTGGGGACAAGGTGGGGATGGGGCACAGGGTGGATTCCCTGATCCTGGAGGGTTTTCCCAACCCCAGTGATCCCGTGACTCCGCAGTTCAGCAGCGGGGGGTCGAAGCGCGCGGCCATCTGGCTGGACACCGGCATCCACGCGCGGGAATGGATCACCCACGCCACCGGGCTCTGGACGGCCAACAAGGTGACCTTGGGATCACCTGGGATGTGGGACCTCGATTCTTACCCCGCATCCATCCCATCCCTCATCTCCGAGGGGCACCGGGGCAGCTCCTGCTCCTCTCCCTGCACAGATTGCCAAGGAATACGGGCAGGACCCGTCTGTCACGGCCATCCTGGACAGCATGGACATCTTCCTGGAGATTGTCACCAACCCCGACGGCTTTGCCTTCACCCACAGCTCTGTGAGTGTGGGGACACCACGGGGGGATCCTGTCCCAGTGCTGTCCCCAGCCATGGCTGTCCGTGGTTTTTGGGATGTGGGACGGTCCCTGGATGGTTTTTGGGATGTGGAGATCCCTGGAGATGCTTGGGCAGGGCTTGGGGTTCACATCCCTGTTCCAATGTCCTCTCCGTGTGCTCCCAGAACCGCCTGTGGCGCAAGACCAGGTCCATCAACGCCGGGTCCCGCTGCGTCGGAGTGGATCCCAACCGAAACTGGGATGCTGGGTTTGGAGGTGAGACCTCAGCCAGCAGCTCCCCACGCTGGCCATTGCTTGTGCCTCAAAGCATCAAAACTTCCTGCTGGAGTGGAGAAAGCCAGGGATGGAAATATTAGGTTCTGTTTTGTCGGGCCAGGGTTTTATGAGCCCTTAAAAGGGAACCTCATACACCCAAGGATAGCTGGTCTATTACCTTTGGAGGCAAATAATGAGCAGGATGGCTTCTGCTGCAGTGTTAGAAACAAAAGTGTTTAATAAAAGGAAAAACAATAAACAGAAAATCCGAGCCAGGTACAGAGGTCTGTTCCTTGGTATAAACACGTTCACAAAAGCCCCGTGGTTCTTTTGTTCTCTTCTTTTCTACCTAATGGCCCAGGCAGGACTTTTTGGCTCCCATCCAATTAGGTGACCCCAAGGTTTTAGTGAAGCCTCTGGGGTCCTATGAGGTGGCTTTTCACCTGATCGTTGGGAGAAACTTCTGGGCTTCCTTCCTTTTTTGGGGGACAAAGGCTAGCTTTGCCACTCTGTCATTGGGGGCATGCTCCTACACTCCTTCAGACGAAACCCTTCCTGAGGGATCCTCTCTGGATCTCCCCCTGCTCCAGGTGCTGGCTCCAGCAGCAACCCCTGCTCCGAGACCTATCACGGCCCTCACGCCCACTCTGAGAAGGAAGTGAGAGCCATCGTGGATTTCATCCGCGCCCACGGGAACGTCAAATCCGTCATCTCCATCCACAGCTACTCCCAGATGCTGCTCTTCCCCTACGGATACAGGAGGGCGCCCACGCCCGACCACCAGGAAATGGTGAGGTGGCCCCAAAACGTGGGGCTGTGACCACCTGGCGGAGTCAGGCAGAGCATCCCAGCAGCCTCCCTGCTCCTCCCGTTGGATGCAACCTGAATCCTGAATCCTTGCACCTGGGTCCCAGAGGAGGGTGGTTGTGAGGTGGACCTCAAACATCAAACATTAAGGGTTTTTTGGGAAAACCTACAGCAGAAGGGATGGGGAATGATGGGCTCTAGATCCCCCTGCCCCATGATCCACCAGATCCCACCAGTTTTGGTGGTTCCTTTGCAGAATGAACTGGCCAAGAAGGCCGTGAGCGACTTGGCCGCCGTGTTCGGGACGAAATACACCTACGGCAGCATTGCCAACACCATCTGTGAGTGTCCCTCCCTCATCCCGCGGCCAATCCCTCGGGAACGGGCTCCCATCTGGGCTCCTCTCCCTGCAGACATGGCAGGAGGCACCACCATCGACTGGGCCTACGACAACGGGGTGAAATATTCCTTCACCTTGGAGCTGAGGGACTCGGGGCGCTACGGATTCCTGCTGCCCAGCTCCCAGATCGTCCCCACCGCCACCGAGACGTGGCCGGCGCTCCTGGACATCATGGTGCACGTCCTGGAGCATCCCTACTGACCCCAGCACCTCCCACAGCATTCCCTCCTCTCAATAAACCCTCATGGAGATTCAGTGGTTTCAGGCACCCTCGTTGTTTTCGTGCTAAACTCCAAAAAAAGGGTGGAAAAGGACTCCCAGTCCTGCAGGTGTTGATTTTCCCCTTGTGACTTTGGCTCAAAGTCCCCATCCTTTGGAGCCAACAGCCAGCATGGGAGGAGATGGGGTTTTTTGGGCAAGCAACCCCAAATTTGTGGGGTTTTGGGCAGCTTTGCTTCATCATCCCTTCCTAGGGGGCTACAAGGAGGGACATGGGGTACCCTCAGGATATTTGCTGTTTATTTTTGGCTACTGGGACAACTGTCACCTGCTCTGACCTCTGTCCTGGGCCAACCTTAACACCACTTTCCTCAGCCAAACTTTAAAGCAGTTTCCCCACCGCTGTGGGTTAGGGATCCAGCTCACCAAGCCCCAAGTGAAAATCTGCATTTCCCACATTCTCAACCCAAACTGATCCTTTCCCTCCCCTCAGCCAGGGCTGGAGGTCGTGGGATTTTGGCACCTCCCGGTCTCACCTGGCTGGCAGCTGACTCACCACGGCCCCAGCAGGGTCCTGGGACAGGTTTGGCCAGGATTGGGAGCGCTGGATGGGGACAGCAGGGCCTGACCTTGGCTGGTGGCAGCCAGAGCCTTCCCAGGGCCCTGGGAAAAGGCACAGCCGGAGGGGCCGGGCTGGGGCCGCCATCCCATGGGATTTAAGCGGCCCCAGGGCGCTGCTGGGGTGTGAGACCGGCTCTCCCCGCTGACCATGAGGCTCCCCGTGCTCCTGGCTGCCCTGGTGGCAGTGGCCACCTGCACCGAGACCTTCTTCGGGTAGGGGGGCCGGGATGGGGAGGTGGCACAGGGGAAAGGCTCAGGGGAAATCCCCGGGATGGGGGATGGATGGGTGGGGTGAGGTTGGACTAATGGGGCCGGAGCTCATCCCACACCCCTCAGCACCCCCTGACCCCACAGGCACCAGGTGCTGCGCATCACCCCCCAGAGCGATGAGGAGCTGCAGAAGGTGCAGGAGCTGCAGCACCTGGAGCATCTGCAGGTACTGCGTGTGGAGGTGGATTTTGGGGACAAACCCCCCAAGCAAAGCAAGGATGGGGTTGGACGTGGGATTATGGGAACCAAGCGGTGAAAAGCGAGACAGGCTGGTGCTGGGGGCGCATCCCAAGGCAGGGTCTCACCCCTCGTCTCCATCTCTCCCCATCCAGCTGGATTTCTGGGTGGCTCCCCGCCGGCTCGGGCTCCCCGTGGACATCCGCGTGCCCTTCCGCAGCCTGCAGGCGGTCAAAGCCCACCTGGAGGCCAGCGGGGTCTCCTACTCCGTCATGATCGAGGACGTGCAGGTCAGCGGTGCCGCAGGGGAGGCGAGGGAGGTGGGATCCCACCAGTGGCAATGGGGCTCATCCCTCCCGTGTCCCACAGGCCCTGCTGGCTGAAGAGCAGATGGAGATGCTCCGCAGCAGCCGCCAGCGGTCGGTCGACACCAGCACCTTCAACTACGAGACCTACCACACCATCGATGAGGTGGGAAAGGACAAGATTTGGGGCATTTTGGGGGAAAAGTTTCCTCTTGGGTTGGGAGTGACCCCCACGTCTCTCATTCCCAGATCTACAATTTCATGGACATGCTGGTGGCCGAGAACCCCAACCTGGTGAGCAAGCTGGAGATCGGCCGCTCGACCGAGAACCGTCCCCTCTACGTGCTCAAGGTGAGCATCTGGGGATCGTGATCCAGAGGGGACAGTGGTGACAGGGACAAAGCCAACGCCCCCTCTCTGCTCTCCCAGTTCAGCACAGGGGGCACCAACCGCCCGGCCATCTGGATCGACACCGGGATCCACTCCCGCGAGTGGGTGACACAGGCCAGCGGCGTCTGGTTTGCCAAGAAGGTACTGGCACATCCCAAAAGGGCCGCCCGCTCCTCAGGAGCTGTGGGGTGCAGCTGGGTGATCCCACAGCAAGGACGGGGAGCCCCAAACCTCCATCCTCTCTAGATCGTCCAGGATCACGCCAATAACGAAGGAGTGGCCTCCATCCTGGAGACGATGGACATCTTCCTGGAGATTGTCACCAACCCAGACGGCTATGCCTACACCCACACCACGGTATGCCCCAGACCTCCTCTCCCTGGTTCCTACAGCTGCTCTGCATGGGGCTGGCGAGCAGGATTTGGGGGGCTCCATATCCCTCAGAGGGCAAAGCCTCCTCACCCACGTTTCCATGGGATGGGAAGGGGCCCACCACGAGCTGTGGAGCTCCAGGCCTGGGCAGTTCCAGCCCAGCCAGGAATTCCTGGTTTCCAAGATCCCCTCCATGGCAATGAGGAATTGCTGAGGTGGCTCTGCCCTTCCAGAACCGCATGTGGCGCAAGACCAGGTCCAAGCACGCGGGCGCCATCTGTGTCGGAGTGGACCCCAACCGCAACTGGGACGCAGGTTTTGGAGGTCAGAGCTGTCCCTTTGCCCCTGAGGAGCGTTTCCACTCTCCAGCTGGAGGCTCCAAAGCTGTTTCTGGCTCAAAATGTCCCCTGGGGAAGAGGTGGGATTTGCTCTCCGTGGCAGAGCCGAGGGTTTGGGCTTCACCAGGGCTTTGATGTCCCAGTGACAAATGAAAGTCACCGTACAAAGCTCTCAGAGGAGCCCCAGGAGCATTCCTTGATCACCGCCAAGGAGCTGAGGGGTGGGAAAACCTCTTGGGCTTGGAAGCCCCCAAATCCCCACTGTGTTCTCACCATTCTCTTCTCCACAGATGCCGGAGCCAGCGGAAACTCCTGCTCGGAGACCTACCACGGACCCTACCCCAACTCGGAGCCCGAGGTGAAATCCATCGTGGACTTTGTGAAGAGCCACGGCAACATCAAGGCTTTTGTCTCCATCCACAGCTACTCCCAGCTCCTGCTCTATCCTTACGGCTACACCTCGACCCCGGCGCCAGATGACCAGGAACTGGTGAGGCCCCTGTGCTTGGAGGGGTTGGCATGGGGTGGAGCTCTTCTGCTGCCCCAAGGAGGAGCCACCTCTGCCCTGGGTCCCTTGGGAAGCTGGGAGGAGCTTTGCTGCACCCAGAAAAAAGCTGTATCCCACAGGTTTTTTTCCTTTCTTTGGCTCATCTTTCCCTGTTTCTTGCATTCCCAGCACGAGATTTCTGCCAAGGCCGTGGCAGCTCTGTCCTCCCTGTACGGCACCAAGTTCCAGTACGGCAGCATCATCACCACCATCTGTAAGTGCTGGGGCAGCCCCAGAACCCCCAAACCCATCCCAAACACCCCATGGGATTCCTGTACAAAGTGATTGGTACATGGGGGGCAGCCCCAAAACCCCCAAATCCCAAACACCCCATGGGATTCCTGTACAAAGTGATCTGTAAGTGCTGGGGCAGCCCCAAAACCACCAAATCCCAAAAACCCCATGGGATGCCTGTACAAAGCAATCAGTAAGTTCTGGGGCAGCCCCAAAACCCCCAAAAACCCCATGGGATTTCTGTACAAAGTGATCTGTAAGTGCTGGGGCAGCCCCAAAACCACCAAATCCCAAACACCCCATGGGATTCCTGTACAAAGCCATCGGTACGTGCTGGGGCAGCCCCAAAACCCCCAAATCCCAAACCCATCCCAAAAACCCTATGGGATTTCTGTACAAAGCGATCAGTACATGCTGGGGCAGCCCCAAATCCCAAACCCATCCCAAACACCCCGTGGGATTCCTGTCCAAAGCCATCAGTAAATGCTGGGGCAGCCCCAAAACCCCCAAATCCCAAACACCCCATGGGATTCCTGTACAAAGTGATTGGTAAGTGCTGGGGCAGCCCCAAATCCCAAACACCCCATGGGATTCCTGTACAAAGCAATCGGTAAGGGCTGGGACAGCCCCAAAACCCCCAAAAGCCCCAAATCCCAAACCCATCCCAAACACCCCATGGGATTCCTGTACAAAGCCATCGGTACGTGCTGGGGCAGCCCCAAAACCCCCAAATCCCAAACCCATCCCAAAAACCCTATGGGATTTCTGTACAAAGCGATCAGTACATGCTGGGGCAGCCCCAAATCCCAAACCCATCCCAAAAACCCTATGGGATTTCTGTACAAAGTGATCTGTAAGTGCTGGGGCAGCCCCAAAACCCCCAAATCCCAAACACCCCATGGGATTCCTGCACAAAGCCATCGGTACGTGCTGGGGCAGCCCCAAAACCCCCAAAAACCCCAAACACCCCATGGGATTCCTGTACAAAGCGATCAGTACATGCTGGGGCAGCCCCAAAACCCCCAAATCCCAAATACCCCATGGGATTCCTGTACAAAGCCATCGATACATGCTGGGGCAGCCTCAAAACCCCCAAATCCCAAACATCCCATGGGATTCTTGTACAAAGCCATTGGTAAGTGCTGGGGCAGCCCCAAAACCCCCAAATCCCAAACCCATCCCAAACACCCCATGGGATTCCTGCACAAAGAGATCCAGGCTCTGAATCCCTCCCATTTTTCCCTCCCCCAGACAGAGCGAGTGGCTCGACCGTGGACTGGACCTACAACCAGGGCATCAAATATTCCTTCACCTTCGAGCTGCGGGACACGGGGCGCTACGGCTTCCTGCTGCCCGCCAAGCAGATCGTGCCCACGGCCCAGGAGACCTGGCTGGCGCTGAAGGTCATCATGGAGCACGCCCGGGACCACCCCTACTGAGCTGGGAGCAGCTGCAGAGAGGGGAGAAGGCAATTAGTCAATAAATGGAAAGAAGGATGAGAAAAGCTTGTGGTTGTTTTTCCCAAATTGGGTGGAAAAGCGCTTTTGGAGTTGGTGATGGCACAAACGGGGTGTGCTGGGTCAGTGGTCTGGAAAAGGGATTGATGGAAAGGGCACAAAGATAGCAGGAACAAAAAGGAAGGAAGGTGGTGGTTTTCCATTTGGTCTGGCAGAGGGTGGGAAGGGAATTGAGCTCTGGGATATGAGGATTTATTGGGGGTCCAGGAGAGCTGCAGAGGGACTGGGAACAAGGGACAGGAGCCAGGGAATGGCTCCCACTGCCAGAGGGCAGCCATGGATGGGATCTGGGCCATGAGGAATTGCTGGCTGGGCTGGAATTGCCAGAGCAGCTGGGGCTGCCCCTGATCCCTGCAGTGCCCAAGGAAGGGTTGGAGCAGCCTGGGACAGGGGAGGTGTCCCTGGAATGAGCT